TGTTGGGAGAGTTTAAATCTTTCCCGTCGGGGGAACATTACGTCGACACAAAAGATTGCCAGTTCCGAGGGAGGCCCGAGCATCGAGCACGAATTATAAACCAGGTCATGTTGGTACAGTCGACTATTATCCTGCATGCGATACACGACACATTTGAATAATGGCCCATAAATATTTATCAGCTCGTGAATTATTGACTAACTAACAATCCTCGCTGTAACTGAACCATGGAAACTGCCGACTGGTGGGTCTCACGCACTGCTCCCCGCGACTCCGCCGGCCGCCAGTGTCCTATATATTATATGGGTCATGCATGATTGCCCATTCAACTATAACTGCGACGTAGCCGACTGAGGACCCGTGCTCCCTCTACACCGGGCCGCTCCACGACAGCATTGCACCAAAATATATTGACTTTTCCCCCATCACTGACACGCTGGTGATTGATTGGTTTTCCGATACCTATAATGGATCGGTTAGCTTATTGATGCCGGCAATCCTTCATGTCTTAGGATCGATATATTATCACGAGCTGCTTGCGATATCCCGCAGGCGTGTTAATTAATTACCACAGATAATGGGCCACGGTTGAAAGCTTTTATCAGCAGAATTTAATTAAACAAAGCGTTTAACGAAAGTAAATATCAATTAACGTGTAGTCCGAGCACTCAGCCTGATCATACTCGTTTAACCGAAACTCTGTGTAAACAGTCCCAGAGGTGCAGGCGGCTGGAGCCTAAACAAACAGAAGTCGCAGATGTTGGGGCTCCGGACCCATTACGGGTTATTGTTATGCGCTTACATTATGTACCATACGTATTAACGGACTAGGGGGGAAGTTTTGTTTGCAAGGAAAAAGAATATTATTGAAAGGACACGAGTTAATAAAAAAAATAATCACAGATATTACTATAATACAATCATAAATAATACATAATAGGTTAAGGAGTGCACCATACTAACAATTTTGTAAATATGATCAAATTGGTTGAAATAAAAATTATTATTATTATTATTATTATAAAGTATATAGATCGTAAAAAACTATTAACCGGTTAAGTAACTTACGTCCGGAAAATGTACAAGTCATCTTGCTCCACTAACATGATTCCAAAGTATTATGAAGTCGCAAGAAAACAGGAGCTAAATGTTCAGCGCCTTACATAACACACGGAGACTTCATCAAAAACATAATCCGATATAAAGCAGCAATGGGGAGTGCACAATAAAATGTTGCCAAAGTCAGGCTTGCCAAATATGTCACTTATCTCGCTACCTCCGTGAGCGGGACCCTGCCAAATATCACTTAAACAATAGGAACGCCATATCTAGATGTGGATCTAGTGGGGTATTTGATTGCGTAACAGACTGCGGCCATAAAAACGAAAGCATGCGACCGACTAGCGATCGGTGCGCTCTTGAATTTAAATGAACGTTTTATGCAACATACTAACTAGACGTTTTATAGCTCAGAATCAGATGCTCCGCGATTATAAGAATTACAAACGTTACGACAGAACAACATGTTTCATACTTAATTATATCGAGACAACAAACAAAACAAAAGAAGCCTTGGAATTTAAGCAAAGTTTCGTTCGTCAGGGAGAGGCGGGTCGAGTAACAAACAAAAACAACAGGCGACTCCTCACCTTTGAAGACTTCCAAAGTAAACTCTCTCTCACACAAACTGTAGGTACTTTATTGTATTATATAAATTACAAGCATATTTAAAATCATTTAAAATCAAAAAGGAGACTGTGATTCAAAGTATTAATATCTTATATATAACGTAAAGTGTAGACGAAATGTTACTTGTACATAATATTAACTCCCGGTTTTCATATTATTTAAATGTTCATTAAGATACGTGCGATTCATTTAATTCTGTCTCTATTTCTGTATGTGTGAATGTTACATAAGACACACCAAGCGTCTATTTCCATCATCAACTGTCGCATGCAGCTCTCCTTCTAATTGGAGGAGGTTCTTTGCTTCCAAACATTTTCTTGTAATCTTTTTTCGTCTCGTTTGTTGTCTAAGTTTTGAACATTCAAGTATACATAGCAGTGTATATATGTATCTGTGACTGTATTTTTTATGTACGCGTCGTTTGGTCTACTGATGGGTACCATTAACATCGAAAGAAGAATTAGCGATGCGTCCACAACGTGCTTTATAGTTTGTATTTGTGTGTTATAGAAAATGGATTAACCTGACTTTTCTTTTATTTGAAATCTATCAGAATATTCAAAAAATTATAATATTAGTTTTAAATCGTAACGTCTATATACATACATATATATACAACATTATTTTAATTCCCCCTTACATCTTCTTTAATTAATGGACTTTTCATTAATGAATATACTCGTACATATTATAGACTTTTAGTTTTCGTAGTTATAAATAAAGTAATAGGATTATATGTCTTATCTTAATGTATTTACAAACTAGTTCAGTGCGTCAGAATTTGTCATTCGTGGGCGAAACAACTATTAGAGATACAAGTATATAGGCGTTGTTTTAGGTCAATCTTGTATACTGAAGACACCTCGCATAACTGGAGGATTATGTATTTTTTATAATATTGTCAACTTAGGAAGCTGAAGGAATTCCTCGACACGGAATAATTACTATTACACATTAAAGTGAGGAGTCAACAACTAATCAAGTATGTACTGTACTTGATAAATAAATAGAAAATGTTTTTGTAATACTGCTATAAATCCTGACTTTCGATAACCGACAACACTTTGTTGTTTTGCGAAAACAATTCTGTACATAAAAGTTACACGAAATCCCGAACAACTTTATATCCGAAACGGTTGAACTATTTTAGTTTTTACCAACACTCGTTTGGGAATATAAAGTAGGGAAATTTAGCAAAAAATAAAAACTGTAAGTCTCTGTTAGACGCTTGTGACTCTGCGGCCGGTCCAAATCTTTGACCTATTTTTCTTCGTTTAAGATCAGATCTTTAAACTGCTATTATCAAATCCAGGAACGTTAGATACATTTACTATGGACCTAATTTTGAGATGTCTACAATCTGACTGTAAAGTTAATGATCATTTTAACGAATTTTCATCGTGTCCAGAAACAAGTAAACTTTGTACGAACTGCAAGGGATACCGTTTCTGAAGTAATCTCTTTGATCTTCAAATATAATAACTAGTTAGTGTCAAATATCAATAGTTATTTTAATTGTTTTATGCGCTACGATATTTGAAATCACGAAAATAGATTACATTTAAAACATTCTCGTATATTTATTACGATTTTTATAACAAAATTTAAATCTCTTTCACTGACTCTACCATATCTAAGTTTTCATATATTTCTTTAAATATATTGACGAGTGACCTAAATTTCAAAAATATCCTAAAGTTTTTAAACTAATAATTAATTTAATGTCAGATTTAAAGAGATGTGATCTTCAAAAATACTTGACAATTAACATATATTTTTCTTATAAACTAATAAGTTATTTAAATCGGATGATTGCTTCAGTTTTACCTTCTTTGTATTAAAATATACGAAAACTTTTAAATAACTTATGCATAACATTATTATTATATAAATAAAAATAAAATATATACGTGAACTTTAACAAAAACTGTTTAAATTTTATTCTTTGACTGAAACAACACCTTTTTGATATTAATCTTTCTTCAGTCAATTTTTCATTTTAATATTTCTAAAAAATATATAAAAACGAGATCTTGTATTATATATATCCAATGTTTAAATATTAATTAAGTAATAGTATGTAACATTACGAAATATTCATTTATTTTTTTGTCCACATCATTACATGATCACTCACAAATGACTGCCATGTTCATAAACACTCATAATGAGTGATAATAGCCAATTGTTCAGCTAATAACTAACAATATATACAATTACACTAAATATATATTCACTAATATTTTATTTGAAATATTTAAAACTATTATATTTACATTTTAATAAGACAGTAATCAGTACTAAAGAATACACACTGTGACATTTGAAATTCGGTTTCAGTTGTAATATGGTTAATAAGATAAGAAAATAAATTAATTCAATAAATATGTATGACCTAACTAAATATATCTTGCATTATATGCAATTTCACCTTCTAACCTTTGCTGAGAATGCTAATATATATTATATTATCTGAACATAGCTCAAACACCATTCAAAACTATTTAAAATAAATAAATTCCAAGCTTTTTGTTACACAACATAAACATTTTGTATCTAACAATTTGACAACACATCAATCAACCTTGAAATTACTTATGCAGCTGCCGAGCCATAACAGACTCCACCAACATGGAGATAGGATTCAAAATACCTCAAACCTGCTGGCAGCAACGACCTTCCCCACATCTCCTAAGCCACCTTCACAGATAACAACCAACAATAATTACTGTCTATGCTTAACAACTACCGAATGAGGATGAAGTGCCAATCTATTCCTATGTAGTGACAATTAATAAGTTCAAAGTACCTTTGATGGCATTAATGCGGAATCTTCCGTTATGTTAGTTGTGATGACTCTCAAATAATAAATAAAGCAAATTAAAGCATCGTCCGATGTGAAATAAAATTTCAAGAAGAATTTGAATGATCCTAGTAGTGATGTCGGTATTCTGTACATAAGGTGATGTTCACACCAACGATGCAACAACTAAGCCATGAGTGGGTCAGTGTGAGGCTAAGTACAGGCTCACAACATCGAGGCAATGTTTACTGTGCTATGGAGATTGACGGTAAACACTAATGTCTACGCCAGCTCAGGTGGCCAACTACTCACAGATACACCGTCCCCCAACCACCGATCATTGTATCTTAGGTAGTGTACTTAGGGTCGCTTATTAGGCATGGTTGAAGTCAGGGCAGCGGTGAGCATCAGCTAGGTGTGTGAGCATGAGCGTGTGCGCGCGTGAGGCATGCGCGCCACCAAAACCAGAAAGCCGATGAGAGCGATCTTAATTAGTGTGACGACTCACCGAAATGAGACGTTATATTGCCATGGCCGTTAGCCAGTGGCAAGGCCGTCACCAAGTCTTGAACTAAAAAACAACGACTCACTTTTAGCATTGCATTCATTATAATTATTAATTATATCACAAATAATACAACGCGCTTATCGATACCTGATTAGGAGCTCTTTTTTACAATATTTATCGAATATGACGGTCTTCGGTCATGGAGGGGCTTATCGCTACATTTTGTAACATTATTTACGTACATCTAACTCATTTAGTTACATTTTCACTTGTTTCGCTATTAATCGATGTATTTTTATCATTAAATAGGTCAAACTGATAACAGCGGCGTAACATTCTGATAAGAATCTTGTTGGTGACCGTATAGGTATGTATAAATTGCAGGGTCGACTCGCTATGTCAATGTTAAACTTTACTTGCCAAATACGCAATCGAGTAAAAACAAAGTACACAATGCAGATACATGAACACTTACCCGAGCTAAAATGTGACCTCTTGACATCCCCATTTTCTGAATCGCCATCCAGGGGTCGTTTTCTAGAGTCCGTGATTTCCGGACTAGGGCAAGTATCCATTCCTGTGTCAGCGGCCATGTTGAATTTCAGGGCAATACTACAAACTTCTCTAGCATAATTCCCATTACGTAATTGATTTAAAATTCGTTTTTAGTAGCGGCGGCACTATACATTATTATTTAAACATTAAATACACTTAACACTTAAACTACAAAACAAGGGAATTTTAAAATTTTGAATGGTTTAATAAGTAAAATATATGAAGAGAAGTGACACTATAGTTATTACGTCTAAATGTAATGTGAACGTTTGTCGATACTGCTCTGCGGCTGTTGTGTATAGCGCATACTCGGAGTGAACTTATCTGCAAAAGTTACATGGTAACGTTGGCACTCCTGTATTTTGACAGCAACCAGCTGATTACACTAGTGATGTTCATACAACATATCGACAACATTATTTTTAAGTTTTTACCTGCAAAAAATATTTGTAAATTAAACTTTTATTACAAGCCTCAAGTTATTTTCGTAAAGTGAAAGGAACTCTTTGAAAAACAGCCGAGGCTAATGTAGGGGTGCCCATAAATAGCATTAGATGATCTGTTTATGAATTTTAATTTGCGGGTCCTTGGAGCTGTTATTTTTTATTATTGAAGTACAACTACTTTACGCACACTTGACTTGGGACTTGGGAGTAAGCTGGTGAACGCGAGACGAAAGCATCACGAACAGTGTGATCGGGTGAGGCGCACGAAGTTGAGAGGTAGATATAAGGTAGTGAAAATAAATAGTGTTACGGTTCATATATTACTGTAGGGGCAAGGGAGACTGCAGTGTTTGCACAAATTTTCGTTCTCACTTCCTTTCATAGTCACTGCATGAAATATGTATTTGTATATCTCAGTCATAGTTTTTTTAGTTTTCTCTAGATATCTTTCTGATCTTTATTCTAAAAAAATATGTATCCTTTTTCTAATATCATATGCCTATTGTTTCGGTCTTACAATCAACCACAGTAATCACTAATGTATTCGTTGATGAATTTAGTAAAAATAATAAATAATAAGAAATATAATATATCGATAACAGCCCATAATGAATTCAAATATTGATAAAAATTAATATTGGTATGTACATGTTTGTATTATACATATTTAAATAAATATATGGATAAACATTTTACACATTGATGGAGCGAAAGAAGTTTTACTTCAGTCGTGTGTTTTCAAGCACACTGGTTTTAATTTTTTACTATGTTATGACTAGTATTAGTCTAGTACAAATCTCATCAGTTATCCCATTAACAGAATTACTTTCCCCACTGCCGTTGATTTTTCCTGGTTCCACGAGAAGTTGCCACGTTGCCTTTGTTAAAAAGTAATGGATGAAATTATTTAACGCGCTAATGAAAAACGTTACACTTTATAATTTTGTATCGAGTGTATACATTCGTTAGCACATCACTATCGTAGAAAAAAAATCGCAAGGTCGTTTCAGAGCTCGACCAATCAGGAATCGTCGCTAACTTCATACCGCTGAAACTGGTTTTTGCGCCAATACGTCAAGCACTTTTTGTTTCAACTATTATCATCATTCATACATAAATTATAACGTTGATAATGTTTTCAGGATACATACATTAAACATGTAAAGAAAAAAAAAATACTAATCCATCGAATAAATATATCATGTTCTTATAATTAATGGAAAATCTGAGCACGAAAAGACTTCACGAGAAGATTCGTTTCTTAATTATTAGGATATTCATATTTTGTAATACACGTTACTCATTAGTGAAATGTAATTTGAAAACATTTAAATGTTGGCGCGTGTCGCTCATCTGGGTCCGCCTAGTTGTTGGCCACTCGAACACCGTGAAGTGGGTCAAGGTGCGGCTGCGGCATGCCCCGTCCCTCCCCGCCCCCCGCCCGCGGCTCACCGACCGATGCTAAATAATAATAAAGGGGTCATATTTTGTAGCTTTATTTAAGATCGCTTTAAATTGATCCACGTAGGCGCTTGGCAGTTAAATTATCTATTAGGTCGTCCCACACATTTTTATAAATGAAATACGTAGGCGCCGATCTGTTACTCCTAATCATTTCAGTTATTCTGCAATGCGACGTTTTAAACAGTTCAATTTTTGCTACCGGTTTTGTTGTCCACAGAACACCCATAAACAAACAAAGCTCGCCGTTTAGATAAAATACCAAGCGGCAACATTTTTATCTGTTATAGCATTATACAGGGTGACTGGTGAATTATTATCGATACTTGAGGACGTGATATTTGACGATCATATATGACAAAATAAAAATTAATATAACATAAATATTAATAAACTTCTAAGTAAAGTTAACCAAAAGTTATGTAATTAATTACGCATCGTGTGAACACCCTACAGATTAGGTATACACACACACTCACACAGACGCGGCGGCGGCGTAGTGTTGTATCAGCACGCCGCCGCACGCGTCCACACTTGGAACACTTGGAACGTGTCGACACTTTATTTATTTACTAGCTTTTGCCGCGACTCCGTCCGCGTGGAATAGTGACTTACGGCAGATTTTTGGTTCTTCCCACATAGTTCCCGTTCTTGCGGGGTTTTCGGAATGGTCGAGTTCCCGTAGAATTTTCAGGATAAAACCTATGTTTTTTTTTAATTCACAATGAAGTACTCTTAACCAACAACATATTTATTTGTTTATTTGAATAAAGATTAATATTATTATGTTGATACAACTTAAACAAATTATTTCGACCAAATTAGGTACCATAAAAACGATTTTTGTGAGTTAATCTTAAAAGATAGACATATACTGTCCTGGACTGTTTTTTAGATCATTAAAAGAGCTATTATTCTTTTATACATATTTTTTGTGTATCTTGAACCGTTTTGACGGCGCACGCAACGGAAGGCTTCAAAGATGAAATAATTTCTCCCGTTTTTTACACATTTACCACTATATCTTTGCTCCTATTGGTCGCAGCGTGATGTTATATAGCTTACAGCCTTCCTCGATAACTGGACTATCCAACACAAAAAGAATTATTCAATTCGAACCAGTAGTTTCGGAGATTAGCGCTTTCAAACAAACAAACAAACTCTTCAGCTTTATAATATTAGTATAGATACGGAAATTTTGTCAAAAATTAAGTACCTATTTTTTTTACATAATTCGAATGAGAATCATGTACCGAGTATTCTCCTTAAATATTGATAGTAATTCACCAGTCACCCTGTATAAACATCGATTGTGTATATTTTGTTTAGAGATTACTACTATTTTATGATCATAGGGAAACAAGTGATGTACAATTACTGATAAAAAAATGGAATTTTTTCTTTTGATATAATGTTATGTTTAGCTTTTAGCATTTACAGAGGTACTGACCGGTTCATCATTTTATTTATTTTTTATTTGTTTTAATTGGATAACCAACAAAAGAACACATTATTTGAACTTAAAGTTTGATTCTCAGCTATGTTTTTATAGTGTGCGAGTAGCTATCTTGTCATTGAAATCTAAGATAGCGTCTTCAAATAGTTCCGTGCATTGATTCGAGGATGGAGAGGATTTTAGGATGCAGATTGGGACTTGGTAGCGTGACGAATAAATAAGGGAATCATGCAATTAGATTAATTATAAATTTATTATATACATCGATGTTTATAAGCACTACGATTTCAGTTTCGAGTATTTTCTAGCACGTACCCTATCAGCCTATCAGATACCCAAACCTTGTCAATATAAAAATATGGCGGACAAAGTCGCCGGCATCAACTAGTGAATGGAGTACATATGATGATTGTTTGGACGAACGATGTAAAATAAGAATGGTTTAAATTTTTCATCAATATATTATATACATTTTATTAGTTTTACAGTAAATTATTTTTTAAATCATAACATTGATTTCAAAACACGTTTCTTTATAACGACACACACAAGGACAGTTGTCTGTCGTGTACATTCATTGTTAGTTATATGTACACAACACTAATGATACATTTATTGCATTCACATTCAGATCCTCACACATATTATGTACCTCCTTGGTAGAAAACATTAAATATTTTTGGCCGTCTTAAAAACAACTGAATTATTTAAATATTTTAGTTTTAAAACAAACATGGCCGTCAAACTGAATATTTTTTTTTAATACAATTGTGAAGTATAACAATAATAGTTATTAATTTTGAAGATTTTAAGCCCTTCCCGGTCTTTCCACAGATATCGGTTGTATACAAAAGGTACAAATATCAAATATATCATGTGATCATCGTTTAGGATATATGTGTTAGGTATATTGGTAATGGTCGCTATCGTGTTTGTGTGAGTGCGGCGCGCGCGGGCACGAGGTGGTAGGTGAGCCACCAGGAGAGCAGCGGCTGAGTGACGGCCACGAACAGGAGGAAGTACAGGCGACGCTTGGTGCCACCCGACCCACCCTTGGACCAGCTGTCGGAGTACGGGTTGGGGGGGTAGCTGTACTCGTACGACGTGCGGGGCTCCGCCTCGCGGGGACCTGACAATAAGTGGAGACGGAGCGTCTTCACCTGCAAATATGTACAATAATATGTTAGACTGATCGAAGGATTTACGGTAGAAGGAAAATATACAAAAACATATAGTCGAGGATAGTGTAAATCCGCGTAACTACCATTGGAAGAAGAATGTCAGAAGAAAGTTTAGGCTGAAATATTGTTTGTATTAACGGCTTTTAAGGTCATTTTTTCACAATTAGTATAGTTTTTTCATAATTATATAGTGTTAAATTTATTACTAATTGTGAAAAAATTACCTTAAAAGCCGTTAATTTAGAAAATATTTCAGCTTGAACTTTCTTCTGATAATCTACTTCCAATATAGATACGCGGAATTATTCAATGACAGTTACGCGGATTTGCACTATCCCCGACGATATCGTTTATGACTGGATACAGTTCCTAACTGAACGTCTTTATATGTAGACCCACCAGGAAGAACGACAATGCACAGCTGCCGTACGCCAGACAGCAGTAGTATCCAGTACTGCCCATCATGAGCGCGCACAGCAGGCTGGCGATCATCGTGCAGTACTTGTAGCCGGAGAAGGCCAGCAGGTCCAGGGTCTTGAGGGCCGTGGAGGTGTTGGTGATGTACAGCGTGATGAGGTACAGCACCATCTCGAAGATGATGTACGCCAGCGCGCTCGACGCCTGGATGCTGATCTGTTCTGGCGAGAACCTCTGCTGGAGACCTGCAACGACGGAACAGAGAATAGTCAAGAAAAGAACAAAAAGTTCTTCGATTCATTTAATATACATAATGTTATTTTAATTTTCTTTAAGAATATTCAAATTGTTGTAAAACTCGGGAGGTATATGAACTAACCCAGCATGAAGCCGGCCAGCAGCACGTATGTGACGTATCCCATGGCGGGCAGGTAGAGGTCCGGCGCGTTCACGTCGTAGCGAGGCTGGACCGGGCTGTCCTGGTCGTACCTCACCATCCACTCCTGGGGACACACAGACATAAACAAATATATAAAAGTATTTATATTACACACACGAGCATGAGTGACACTTTGATTTATTGTAACTCATTATATCTATTAAACACTTAAAAGAGAAAAGGTTTTATCAAAAAGTTTATTTTATTTTATTTTTCTATCGAATGTTGCATTACAAGCGGAGATATGACAAAAGACGCTATCCGTCACGGCGGCTGGGTCATAATGAGTGTTTATATTCTTATTCATTTTGACTTTGATGGTTGTAGTCATTGACTTAAATATAATGTGTATGATTATACTAACACAAGCACTAGACCGCAACTTTTATCGCATTTTAAATTTACTTGAAGACGCCCTTCACCATCTTTATGAGGATTCATTAGATTTTCCGAGGATATCTTTCGACAGACAATCTCTTGGCCTTTCATTTAAACAATATTTTAGAGAATGACCACATAATGGAAAGCGAGTAATGCACAAACATCTAGTAATAGACAGTATTTACCTTGTGTGTGAAGGGGAAGACAAGGAGTAATAGTTTCTTGAGTACGTATCTGGTGTCCACTGCGAAATAGTATCTAAGGCGCGTCATAGGCACGAACCGGCCGAGCTCCCGGGACACAGCCGCCCGGCCCTCCGCCGCCAGCGCTGACCCATACTGGAGCGCCATGTCCTGGAACGGTGACACCATACTATTAACTCACTGTTAGCTATTGATCAGGTTCAAATAAACAACAGAGGTTATTCTAATAAGTTCCTTGACTTCCACTATCTATATATATAAAAGAATTTCTATTAGTTACACTAATTATAACTCAAGAATGGATGTAGGGATATGGTGAAAATTGGTAGAGACATAGCTTAGAACAAGGAGATGGACATAGGATATTTAATTCTGTTCGATCGTAACAGAAGAAAGGATAGAAACCCAATATCAGGTTATTTGGGACCTTTCAATTGGAATAGAGTTTGCCCAGTCAGCTATACATGTATGTTATGTATTAATAATTCCGAAATTAATGTGAAGAAAATCAGGGGCAAAAACTAGTAGTTAATCAATAAACAAGTATTTCAATGGGACTTTTGTATTAATTATAAAAAGAAAGCACTAAGTAGTAACATTTCACATCAATATAAATAAAGATATATTTAAATGAGCAATTCTTGTATTACCTACATATTTATTGGAATCTCGGAATCCGCTCTAACAATTTTCATGAAATTTAGTATGTAGGGGATTTCGGGGGCGGTAAATCGATCTAGCTAGGAATCATTTTTAGAAAATGTGATTTTATAAAAAAAAATACAAAAAGTAGTCGTTTAAAATATGACTCTTCCTGACATCTATTGGCGAATAGTAATATGTACTACTTTTTGCTAATTGTTTTAACTAATTTCTTTAACGACACAACAGCAGATGACGTTGTTAAGTTCCAGAAAGTTAATGGGTGTTTGTTTTGAGGTTAGACTAAGAAAATAATTATTGATTTATGGGTGAATACACGCTATTTGAATTCCATTGGTCTATAGAAAAATTTAACGTAAAACTTATTATATCATGGTCTCTCTATGCTTAAACAATAAGGAACATGGCATTTTATCTGGCCCACAAAGACTATTCACGGTAATTTTATAATTTAAAATAGTTAAAATTGTATACTCTTCTGGCCTTCCCATTTATGAATTAAAATTAACTTATGGCTGAATATTTTAAAAAAGTACACAATTATGTTTTTTGTTTAATTTTATGCCAGTCGTTGGTGTATTTGCTTTGGTAAGCATATATATTTGTATTTTATCAACTTTCTCAGCTAATAATAATCAATGGTATGACCCTGCTTTGATTTGTTACTACTCTGGTAACACATTTCCCTCTGGTGCTTCTAAAACTGAAAAAAAAAATTAATAATCGTCTGTCCCCTGTGTAGTAATCATACTAATTTTAAAATAGTGTTAAATAAATAACTTATAAATTTTGAATGCAATCGATAACGTTTCCTTCTGGGACACGAAAAAACAAAATAGCGTATATTCACCCTCATCGACATATACTAATGGACATGCCGTACGCGTATAATCTGCAGTATTTTTTTGGTTTGAAAAGAGTAAGAGAGATGGCCCATGCTTTCGGTCTAGCACTATGTCTTTCCTCATAGATGATTGGCGCTCAGTTTTCATGACAAGCATGGCATATAAATTATCCAAAAGGGGCTCATAACGTCTTAAGTACGATACTATTTTGAGAGAGATAAAGATAGAGCGAAACTTCGTTTCGTCTCTTTCTTTCGGAGTGCCACAATTCTCATCTCTAAGGCATGTCCATTAGTATATGTCGATGTTCACCCTTATATTGTTTTGTGTCTTCTTAACGTGTTCACTTAAAAATGCCTAAACGAAATTAAAAAAAAACACAAAATAAATACTTATTACAAGTACAAAAAATAGTATAAGGAAAGAGATCAGTAATGCCTGTAAATTGTAATTAATTTATTTTAAGATTATTATTATTATTTTATTAATTTATTTATCTCATGATTTTTTTTTAATAACTTTCTCAACTCTTATTGGTCATATTATTATTTTGCTCCAAATGAAATTGTAATCGGTGGAAGCTTTTTGGTTTGTGTATTTTTGTATGTATTGTTTCGATTGATTGTTTAATACTGTTTGTTTCCCAAAAAAAAAAAAGATTACCTGTACTATGGGCTGATGAAGCATGGACCCTATGTTAGCAGCCGATGGCATGGGAGACTGAGGGTATCCCGCCATGTAGCCAAAATCTAAAAAGTAATTAAACAATGATATTAAAATTGCACTGACAAATATGTTAACAATGTTGTATTACTAACTCTAAGGTGTATAAACAATAATTTTATATTGAATCATAAGAAATAATTTCAATTATTCATCACAGTAACTAACTTCCAGCGGGCTCGGTGGGTGCAAAGTCCTGTCGTGTTTCCACTTGGATGCCTTGCTGGTATGGAGCTACCGGTGAGGCTGGTTCAAAACCCTGATTATATACCGGCGGTGTGTTATAAGCTGGAACCGGTGAAGGAACTCCCATGGCTGATACATCACTCACTCTTTTAGCCTTACGAGGCCCACCCACTGGATTCACTAAAACAAAATTTGATAAATCGCTTAATACATTATGAATAAATATTGTTTTATGCCAATATCTACATTAATGAAGCAAATTTTCTTCTTATATATGTACAAACATTGCAGATCATCAAGATGAACAAATTATGTCTTAAGATAAAACTCACAAGTTTTATCTGAAATGCAATTACTGATAATCAATCATTGGAGTAAAAACGTATAATTAGAAAAACGAAATGTAAGAAATCCGTCTACTATGTTATATTTTTAATACTGTTTTAACTTTTAAGAATAAACACATATTATCTTACTGGAACTTTGGATAAGACTGGAAGAACAACTCACCGTTCCTTGAAGCGTTAAAATTCATAGTTCTAAATGTTACTTCTCTAAAATAAACTCATGGATATAATTAAAATTAAATTTGTTTTTGATTTCGAAGACCAAACCACATCATCAGACACCGACGATGAATTTGTTGAAATTGACAGTAAACTGCCATACGGAACGTCAGTGTTGAGACTTGAGTGATATTAATCACGCAACATTCACTTTATCAAAGAATGCAGTTGAACTTTGGTAATAACGATGAATTAGTAATAACACAAGGTATTGTTATACATACGAACCAATAACAAGTAGACACAATTTACCTGTTTTACATGATTTACTTAATACAAGTTTCAACAGGGTGATGACTATCGAGCTGTATATTTATTACTCCTAGATAAATTAAAAAAATAAAAAAATTCCATCAGGATGTTTAAAAAAGATGAAATAAGAAGTTAAGGTATTTAAATTTACAAAATAAATTAATTTGAATTTTTTAACAATGATTACTTTCAAATTGTTCAGCTGTCAGAGTCAATTGTCAAGTTGTCAACACTCTTCAAACATTTTGCGACTTGTTTTTGTATCGTTCGGTTTGGGCGATGAAAACAGACAATAAAATAAGCATAAATAGATTGTACTTGTCGTTGTTCACATCGTTTTACACGCAATATTATTCCCTATTCGTTTTGTGAGATTTAGCTACCATGGCGCTGACGAACGTATTGCTCCTGAGTCAGATCGCAGGATACGTGATCGGCCTCATCCTGTCTCTATGCATCATTGTACCGATGAGCATGCATCAGGATGAATTCAGGTTTTTATTACCTATAACTTACTTAAAGCTTACATTTTAGTCCTGAATAGTTAAAAATATTATTTGCCATATTGACGCAAAACATTAAATTTTATCATCAAAATAGTGTTTATTAGTCACTATTCTCTTATCTTCAACGACAGATTGTTATGAAAAATTTCTCGTTATATTATAATATAGGAGATGTCTTTGTTGTGAATATTATTTTGATAAAAACATACTTACTAAATGTATCTTTTAGTGGGCACTGTTTGCTGTTCTCCAAGGGTACCTGGCAGGAGGAGGACGGCCAGTTGTTGGTGGCCTGGGGTTCCCGAGCATACTGCACCTACGTCATAGCAGTGGGTGTACTTATGTTCATTGTGTGCTGTGTGCAGATATACAGGCAAGTGTACTCCAATGGTTTAGTGAGCAGTGTAACACAAATTACTGTATCCTGATTCCTGTCTGCTAAAAATGAATTGATGTCCATAATAAAGGCCTAGCCTAGTGTAAACATCAACATTTACTGTAAATTGCATTGTAAAATGTTTTGCAAAAAAATAAAATAAAAAAAAGATCATATTTATATAATATTAATTTCAACAATTTAGAGTTGCTATAACATTGATAACCAATAATTTCTACTACATTTCTACTTCACATTCAAGATCCTCTAAGACTTCCTAATTTCTTCCACTGTATTATTATCACAAACTCTCCCCAGGCTCTCCATGTTTATGTATCGTGGTACAGACAGTTCCTTCCTGTCTGCCTTCATGGAGGCGGTGGGTTGTGCCGTCCTCTGTGCTTTAGCTGTGTCGGCTGCCTCAATGGTCACACTTGGATTCATCACCTGGTGTCAGAACATTGTTGAGCGATTTCCAAGGTATATTCATGTCTTTATATAAATAATTCTTCTGTGAGTGTGTATGTCACTGAACTTTTCTCAAATGACTGAACCGATTTTTATGAAATTTTTTGTGTGTGTTCAAGGGGATCTGGGAATGGTTTAGATTCACAATTTTGTCCGCTGGATACTGGTGTATTCCGGTGCAATTTTTTAATTGGCAATTTTTAATTTATTAGTAGTTGTTGATACGGGCGCTTGCGCTCGTTTTTTTTTTATATTAGATTTGACAACTAACTAATATGTCAATCATTCTGTCGCACTTCAAAACACGGAGATTTATGGCTTTAATAAGTAAACTCCAAAGATATGAATAAAAAACGTAACAGATATTTCTTGATTATAGGGCGACACGAAGTTCGCCGGGTCTTCTAGTTATTATATAATTTATTTTTTTTATTATTATATAATATTTATAATTATAGTAATTGCTCATTAGGCCAGTGCAGGTGCCTCTAAAAATGATGAAAAGTGAAAGTAAATTATAGTAGAATGAAACCCATTAGAAAAGGAAGGGAATATTATAAAAATGAAGGGAAAAATAATTTACGGGCGATCTGAGTTCGGGAAGGGTACGGGCGTGGGTATTTAAGGGTAAAAAATGGGTTTTCTCGATTTCCAGCAAAACTAAAAGTCCTACGGAAAAATGTTATATGGCAAAGTTGTAGGTAATAAAAAGATCTAAAACTTTTGTACTAACATTTTTTTCCCATAACCTCAAATTTTATGTGAAAAATTACCAGTACCATTTTTGGATAAAATAATCATGTCTCTTTTAATGAAATGACACTCGACATCGGTTTAAAAATGCTCTTTCTAATTTATTTTTAATAGTTGTGTACTCTGAAAGTTCTCCAGATAGTCCCTTTTTTAGGTAATTTACAGAAAGTTGACATTAAGCTGCTAAAACTATTAAAAATAAATTGAAAGAGCATTTGCCAAACGATATCGAGTGTCATTTCATTAAAAGGGACATGATTATTTTATCCAAAAATGGTACTGCAAGTAGGAAATTTATATTTTTTTTCTTCACCATCGGAAAATAGAGATTTCAACAAATTGAAAACATACCCAATTTTTGAAAATAGCTGATATTTTGACGGATGATTTTTCGATTGAAAATGAGGCTGATTTTTCGGTATTTATTCAAAATAAGCTGAAAAAATAAATATTTCTAATCAAATAAATTACAGTGCATTTGTAACATCAAAAGGAAAGTTTTCAAGTAATTTCGTGATAAAAATTGTTTTTTATAAGAGATAAAAATAAAAAACCAAAAACTTGATTTTTCGAATTTATCACATAAATTTTCAAGTTATGTGAAATAAATGTTAGTACAAAAGTTTTAGATCTTTTTATTACCTACAACGTTGTCATATAACATTTTTGCGTCGGACTTTTAGTTTTGCCGGAAATCGAGAAAACCTATTTTTTACCCTTAAATACCCATCCCCATACCCTTCCCGACCTCAGATCGCCCGTAAATTATTTTTCCTTTAATTTTTATAATATTCCCCTCCTTTTCTAATAAGTTTCATTCTACTTTAATTTAATTATGTTTTAAAAGCTATCGGCACTAGTCTATCAGTTGATTATGATTAATTATTCTTGTTTACCAAGTATTAGAAAACATTATGCTTTATGTTATCCTGTAATTGTGTAGTTTTTACAACTTGATCTGATAAAATAACAACATCTGTAAATGCTGTAGAACTCCATGATGTTGTGTATTTTTTTAATACATTTAGTTTTAAATTAAACTAGTAACTCAGTAAGTACTGGTTATATGCAAATGTGTGATGCTATTTCAAAAGATTTATTTTAAGCAACTTGCATATTTTGGTACTTTTATTAAAAAAGGTGTTTGGCAAGTAGAATTATGCTGTAAGACACCCAACTCACACAAAATACCTAGTGTATCTTTAAATTACTTAAGAAGTTAGTTACATTACTTGGATAGTTACATGACTAAGATAATTTCAGAAGTATTAACATTATATAGAAAAATACAGATACAAAAGACACTAACATAGATCCATGTGATATTTAGCAAATTATTTCAAGAGCTTTTTACTCCCCATATTTTGGTTGTTTATTAGATCCCAGAAGAACAAAACCATATCAATATTTAATTATCATCAATTTTATAAATGATCCTATCAGACCACTATTTCTTAGATTTTGTTAATTATTTTTAGTTCCTAATGAACTTAATGAAAAGTGAACATTTGTAGACAGTATTTATTAAAGTAATAGTTCACAAGTTTGTTAAACATCAAAATGATATCCAGATGTAATATCACCAATATCAATGTATCCAACAGATTTTTTTACTGTTGGATATGTTTTGCACTTGTAGAAATTCTTTATAATAATATTATATAGACAACAAATTGTTGTGTATGAATAATATATGTACAGTTTGTTTGTTTCAGCTGTGAGGATGCGACTGGTCAAGACATAGATAAGAAAGACAAGATATCTACTCATGGCTTCTACATAGAATTGGGAACTGCACAGGTGATATATAATATTATATGATTTGTCATATCTTTATATATGTATATAATTCTTCTGTGAGTGTGTATGTCACTGAACTTCTCTCAAACCGATTTTGATGAAATTTTTTGTGTGTGTTCAAGGGGATCTGGGAATGTTGTAGATTCACAATTTTGTCTGCTGGACAATGTTTTTTTAATTAATTTTTAATTTATTAGTAGTTGTTGATACAAACATTTTTTTTGACATTAGATTTGACAACTAACTAATATGTCAATAATTCTGTCGCACTTCAAAACTCGGAGATTTATGGCTTTAATAGGTAAACTCCAAAAATATAAATAAAAAAACGTAACAGATATTTCTTGATTATAGGGCGATACGAAGTTCGCCGGGTCTTCTAGTTTTATATAAGTTATGTACATTGAGTATGTTTCTTCTAGTTCGGTGCGTGGGGCGCGTTCGCCACGTGGGTTGGTCTGGCTGTGTTCTCGACGCTCAAGCTGTGTCGCTACCACCAGCTGCAGAACATCCAGGTGTCCATGTATCGTGAGAGACAGCGGCTCGTCAACGAGGGCTCCACACCACCTCGCACTCCCGTGTTGAATAGAGAGTGATTGAGGGAGCGTGAAACGGGGATCACAACTACCCACATCTATCCAACACAAAATTTGCAGAACAAATACTGACATTTTGGGAGAAGATGAGACAATGACTAGATACATCCCAGTACACTATTCAGTTGTCTTCTAAGGATGATTGTATATATATTGAGAATATTTAGAAAAGAGTTGCGACTACTGATGTGGTTACTAATTAAATCACAACTATAATAATTGATCGCCTGTAGATGATAGACATTACCTGAAGGCTATTTTTACTCAATTTTAACTAGCTGCAATCATTTTGATTCTGCAAATTATTTTTAATTACTAAGAATATTGAATTTATATTAAAATCATTCCTAATATTATCTAATACTTAGGATAATGTTGTTCCCATTTTAGCACAGTTTGTAGATGTTTATTGTGCCCCTTGATAATATTTTTTAACAGATTATTTACTTTCTTATGTTAATTTTATAAATGATTTTGAATGTGATATATTTATACTGTACAAAAACTGTATTTATTTAGTAGTTAATAATTATTATGTAAAGATCTCTTTAAAAATAGTTATTATATGTTATACTATCTGGTGTTGTACTCACAACTTTATGGTACACTGAGCACGAGTACTCATCGTCTATATTACAGTATAAAGTGACAGATTCGTAACTATGATTAAGTAGAGTAAAACATTTCGTCTGTCGGTCACTGTGATGTTGATGGACACTCGTGATATATATATGTCTCAGACTTAGGGAAGCTCAGGTTATCATGTCTTAATAATGTAACATCTAATATGGAATCATACAATATAAAATAAAACAATCGTGTTGTAATTAATTATGGTTTTATTTCATCCTTCACTACACTGCCCGAGTGTTTCTTCACGACGTGTACCCTGAGGTACCTGAGCTGAGCGAACGTGTGTCCACACACGCCACACACATACGCGCCGGCCGCGTGCGTGCGTGCGTGTCTCAGCAGGTCACAGCGCACACTGAACCCGCGGCCGCAGGTCTCGCAGACGTGAGACTTGTGCGCGAGGTGGCGCGTCTCGTGCCGCAGCAGGTGTGTGCGCCACCTGAAGCACCTGCCGCACCGTGAGCACCTGTGCGCCTTGATTTCGCTGTGCGTCTGTTGGTGTATGTACAGACTGGCCCTCGTCCTGAACCGCTTGTCACACTCCCTGCACGGGTACCGCCAGTCTGCTCCGTGTATGGCCGTGTGTGATGATAGACTGGCCTTGGTCCCGAACTTCTTCCCGCAGACGTCGCACTCGTGCTCCTTGTTCTGGTTATGGGAATATTTGAGATGGTAAAAGTAACTCGACGAGGCGACGTATACTTTATCACATTTCGGACATTTTCTGATTTTACTTTTCACATTATGAACTTCCGCATTATCAGATCTGGTTCTCTGTTTATGTGTCTGTTCTGCAGCAGGAGATCGTTGGCTATTTTTAATTTCTACCGTGTGTAGATCATCTTGAGCCTCCGTGTCGCTGTGATATGCGTGTTGTTCCTCTTGATACTCTCTGGAGTCTTCGATAGCCTCGAACACTGATTCTGGTAAGGGACCAAAATCTTCCACGTTGCTCGGTTCACAGAATTCCTCGTGTACTTCTTCATCACTTTTCTTTTCCTCACCACCACCCTCTACTCGATGGTCGTTCTTTGTCATCTTATCTGTGACGTCACTCCCTGTATCATCACATTTCACGTTCCTCGCCGGACCCCGCTCGAGATTCTGTTTAATTCTTTTCGTCTTCCTGTCTTTATGTTTGGCGTGTTGGACCGCGTGCAGCGTCATGTGAACCACGAAGTTGCTCCTGTCGATAAATCCATCACACTCGTGACACCGGAAGAAACTAACCGAGTGTATCGTTTCCAGATGCTCTCCGTAACTCTTCTCAGGAAACTCTTTATCACAATATTTACACATTCTAAGGTGGTCCGCAGACTCCGAGAGAATCAGTTCCGAGGAGACCGGCTCGCCCTCGAACCTGCAACAAAGCCGTTCTATGAGTGCGGCGGAGGTCGGGGGGCGTCCCTTGTCACGAGTCAGTCGGCGGTTGTTGTGTCCGTGTGTGAGTACGCTCGTGCCTGGTAAGCTGAGCGCGCAGGCGGAAGGACGGCTCCACAAGTGCAGGCGTATGGCCTCTCACCCGTGTGTACAGAGGCGTGCGCGCGCAGCTGGCGGCCTGTTTTGAATCGCGCCGAACAGGCCGGGCACTCGAATCCGAACTCTTCGGCGTGCACGCGGCGGTGTGAGCGCAGCCCGGCGCTGGTCTTGGACGCTTTCCCGCACACGTGACACACGTAATCCCTGCGATCGTCATGTGATCGCAAGTGATCGGCGAGGTGAGCGGCGCGCGTGAAGCTCCGGCGGCAGAGGGAGCACGTGTGAGGCCGACGCGCGGCGTGCAGGGCGCGGACGTGGCGCGCGAGGTTTCCGCTGTCTGAGAAGGCACACCCGCACACGCTGCAGCGGTAGCGCTGGGTGCCCGCTGCTTCGTGCGCTCGTATATGTCGCGCCCTACTCGCGCGAGTCACTGACTTGCCACAAATACTGCACTCACTACTGTCCTTGTTCTCTTTTTTTATATTTTTCGGCAGCTCCTTGCAGTCTTCCGGTCGATCGATTACGACATCACAGAGTCTCCCCCAGTCTTCCGTGGTAGGAGGAGTGTGTTCTATTCCGACCCGTCGTTTTGGTGTCCACGTCGCTCCTCTGTAAAGCAAATCCTCTTGTAATTTTGTACCTCTAGTCTAAACGGAGTTCAACGTCAGAATGTAATTAATCGCGTTGTTGTAAACGTGCGCGTCTTCCCCGGGCTTGCTGTCGTGTAATCGTTTACAGTGATGGCGGAGGGCCCGTCGTTGGCGGAAGGCAGTTCCGCAGACGGTACACACGTGCGGTTTGCTATCCGAGTGTGTGAGAGCGTGCGCATTCATTTCATGTTTTTGTCTGAATCCTTTGCCACAATGCCGACACACGTGCGGCCTCTCTCCGGTGTGTTTGAGGCGGTGCCGCGTCAGTCCGGAGCGCATACGGAACTTGGCGCCGCAGTCCCGGCAGGCGTGCGGGAGTGTGGCGCTGTGTGTCTTTAGGTGCACATGTAGCGAGCCACTCTGTGTGAATCGCTTCCCACAGTGGGAGCACACGAAAGGTCTCTCGCCCGTGTGTATTCTCATGTGTTGTTTGAGGTTCTGCGAGTTCGCGAACGACTTGTGGCAGATCTGGCAAGTGTACCGGCGCAGTCGTTCGTGTGTCTCTGTGAGATGTCTCTGGAGTCCGTTGGGCGCGCGGAACTGTTTGCCGCACACGTGACAGATGCACGGTCGCTCCCCCGTGTGTATTCTCTTGTGGAAAATATAAGTGTGTGACGAGCTCAGCTTCTTGTCACATATTTTGCAGATGTAGTAAGTCTTCCCGTTTATTTTCGTCTGCACCTGGCTGAGCTCGAGTCGGGTCTCCTCGTTCATTTTGTCCTTCCTCATGTTGCTGTTGGAGAGGTCGTCGTACTGAACCGGATCCAGTTCTTCCCAATTCCTTTCTTCCTCCGAATCGCTCGAGTTGGATAGATCTGAGCAGCGATCTCTCTTAAACTCATGTTGAACGTAGTGATCTCGAAACTTTGTTAATGCCCTATAAAAGTTTCTGTATATATCTGATGGTCTAGCGGCCGCGAACTCAGCGAGGGGTTTGTCATCTTCGTCGGATTCCGATCCATGCCTGTGATGACCTCTGACTCTCTCAGTACCGTTACTGTGTGTTGGTTCATTGAGTTCAATTTTAAATTCTCTCCTCTTCAAGAAGTATGGGTCGGGAGATGGGATCCATCTGCAACAAACAACGCAGATTACTCACGTCGTTCTCTCGTGCGTTCGCAGGTGACACTTAAGGTGTGTACTCTTTCGGAACTTTTTATCACAAAAGCTGCAGGCATATTTTCTAATGTTCAGATGCATGTCTATGTGTCTGTATAGAGTGTTCTTAGCTCGGTAGGCCTTCCCACAGTATTGGCATGAAAAAGGTTTCTGACCAGTGTGGAGGCGCGCGTGCACGTCCCTGGCTGCTCGTGACGGGAAGGCCTCTCCGCACGACGAGCACACGAACTTGAGCTGTCCTTCGTGGACCACCTTGTGGTGGTATATGAGGCTGCCTTGGCTCTTGTACGTCTTATTGCACTTGTCGCACGCGAACCGACTCGGCTGTCCGAAATGGTTCCTCATGTGCACTAACATGTTGTACTTGTTGGAGAAGGTTTTGTTGCACTCGGAACACACGGCCGGAATAAATTTCTGACATTTGGGACTGCCTTCTGTCTTGCCCCTCTCATATCTTTCCTCCGCTTGAGGATGATTATCGTTTATATGTTTCTGGAGCTCGTCCAGGTCGCCGGCTGTGAGGCCGCAGCTCTTGCACACGCGAGACGAGTCGATAACCTTATGAACGTGTTGAGATTGTAGGTGAGTGACGAAAAATGTTTTATTATTGAACAGCTGGTTACAGCAGTACACTCCGTCGTCGATACAGACCTCGAGGTGACGGTTGAGGTGGAATACAAGTCTAGTGGGTGAAGAAAACATGCTTTCACAAAAAGGACAGGAATAATTTGGTAACTCTTTGTTAGGAGCCTGCTTACTGAGATCCTCGCTACTTAATAATTCATCAGAGATGAGGACTTCCTCTATGAAAATATTGTCTTTTATAAATTGTTCAATTAGTTTCTCATTACTCAATTCACTGTGTACCAGTTGAAGATGCTGTGATAATGTTTCTATAGAGCTTGAGACAGGATGTCCGTCACATTCTTGACAGACGTAATATATGTCAGAGTTATCCTGATTTATGTTAAGCATTTGACAGTAATCATTCAAAACATCTGTCACTATGGATGTTAATAAGTTCAAACCCCTGAAATATTACATGAGCATTGACATTTAAACTAAATGTGACCATGCAAATACAAACTGAATACTTACTTTGGATCTGATGGTGTTCCTGTTACTTCAACTGGTTTCTTTTTCTGTGGAAGTTAATAAAACATAGTTTCTTTAATTAAGCTCAATGTATGATCTAGACAATGACATTGAACATATATGTTATGCCGTACCCTATTGGCTGCCTGTTGTCGGAGAGCCTGGTCAGCTTGTTGACAGCACTGCACCAGCTCATGCCAAGCCAGCACAGTACTGGAGCACTGGTAGCACACAACCCGGGGCAGCACATCCTGCACCGACACCTGTTGAAAACAAAACACAGACAAATATAATAATTATAAAATGTTTTCCACTTATATATATATTGATTTTTTTAATCTTTTGGAATATTTCTCCAATATGTCAAGAAATACAAGCTATACCTTGAAATTACCCAATAAAAAAATTGTGATAAGCAATAACTATTATAAATGAAAAAGTTATGTTCTGTCTGCCCCATAGATATTTGTATAATTTATATGGAGCGTGGAGTTTTATAGTTTATAGAGAGATAAAAAAATGTTCTTTCTCAAGGTCAAAAAGTGAATTTCATTAAAATCAGTTCAGTGGTTTAGGCGTGACAGAAATAGGAGTTACTTTGCATTTTATAGTAGGGATAAAAGAAAAAGTGAACTTTATGTAAATAGGTGCTTATCAGTTTTTTAACTTTTAAAAGAATATAATTAAAGATTTTATTAGTAAAAATCTATTGAAGAATGTTAAAATAAAATAGTCATTAGATGTTGATATAAAATACCTTTATTGGTAAATGTTTATGAATTTTTTCAGCTAAGTTATTTTGTAGTCCTTCTCCTTCAAATATAGGAATGACCAGATCCGTGACGGTGGCACATATTCGACAGATATTTGGAGAATCCTCCACGTCTAGAAAAGAGATAAATAATCGTGAAATGTTTTAAATACAACATAAAAAATAAACTATGACAAAGACCACTCATGTCCCGTTTTAAAAACCGAAATATAACTAAAACTAGACTTAAGCAATAAAAACATAATTAGAGAGATTAATCATATATATCTTCATACTCTCATGAGTTTCGCCGCTGCATTTTATATCAAGTTTGTCCAGTTGGTCTGATGCGGTTGCACCGTTCATTACTATTGTACCAGTATTTATTATCACTGTATTATATCAGTTATACTTAATAACTATCTTGTTTTGTCTAAAAATAGCAATCTAAACTATAGCTCCCTGTTATGAACATACGCTACTTGCAGCTGTATCCGATATTTAGATCAACATTGACAGTTAGATGTTTAAACTAGAGTTATACATTATCGATGACAAGTGACAGGACAATTGTCAGGGACAATAAATAAATATTATTGTATCAAAAATGGTAATGACGACAAAATGTAAAAAGGAATATTATCAACAAAAAATAAATTATCTGTTAATAGAGTTCTCTGGTTATGCTCTTTTAATAAAAAAATGGTGCAAAAGTGGGGAATAGGTACATAGAAATAAGAAAGGAAAAAAAAAGGAAAAAGACACATAAATAAGCATCCAAAAAAAAGAAAATGTAGCCATATATATAATAGAAATAAAAATAAATCAATTGTGATTTACAGAAATATGTATATAAAAATACAGGTGTGAATTCCTAAGTTGTGCACAGAGAACAATTTATCAAAGAATGCTGTATTAAAGTATGTATATCCAGAATCCAGGGGATATCCAGAATATTTTATTCAACAAAAGACCTTTTATTATTATCTACACGATAATTGTACTTTATGTAGTACATTAGGATAATATATTGTATTTAAAGTGTTTTATAGATTTTAACATTCCGTAAATATTACAGTTTGACACACAATATTCCAAGAATGAACATAGTTGAACATGAACTATGTTTATTCTTGGAATATTCAAATTCCAGAAATAAATTATTTATCTGAATAATATTTGTTTGCGTTAGCATATCTAAATATTGATAAAATATCGTCTAAAACATGATTGTATAATTTTGCCTACAGCGTTATTAATCTCAACAATTGCTTTATTGCAAAATGAAATCCCTATGATTTACTGGTCATATGTTAGTGAATGATAGTGTCACTTATTAATTTATCTTGGATGCCATTTCTAGAAAATTTAACACATCAAAAACAATATACGTATGTATCTGTCCCTGTACATTTAATTGTTTAGGTGAAGATTGCTCTAGAATTGGCGAAGCTTTTCTGTCGTAAATACATATATGTTTGAGTACATCTGATAAAACATGATATATGTATATTTAGACTACTTATACTTAAGAATGGATATAGGTTTCATTAAACCTGTATCAAGAGGCCAAATATATTTAGATTAAATTAGGTTTTTCTGTTTTAAGTCATAGATTATTTCTAATATTTATTAAGTCTTTTTTTTAACGAGGAGAATCTTTTAAAGACTTCCTGCCGCGGGGGAAACGCGACAGGGGCGTGTGGGATTTCCACCCACTAAACTCCTCGGCGTTCTCTGCGCTGTGCGTAGACTAGTGAGCGGGAACGGCGAGCCATGCTTCCGCTCACTACGCACGAGTCCCGAAAGGGACTCCGCCATCGGCAGGGGTATCAGTGGCTGACCACACCACCCCTCCGACTCAAGAGCAGCGTGCCGGGAACGCCAAACACGCCGCTCTTCCTCTAGCCTATGTTACCCGGACGCCGGTTCCCCACGGACACCCGGAGGCTTCCTCACTGGGGAGGCAGGTCGCGAGCATAAGCCCCCTGCCTTCGACCCAGCCTTCGTCGGCAATATTTATTAAGTCTTGTACAAGCAGACGGAGCCATTAATGTTATTATTTTATGCAGCCATGTCTGAAACTTCCTGTTTTGGTTTATTGCTGAAAATAAATCAACTTTTTTCATCATCATCAAAAAAATTGTTTGAGAATAAAAATTAAAAAAGACATTGTAACAGCTTTATAATCTCTTCACGAGGTCTGGTAGACTGGTAGGAAGAAAATACGTTTATAAAATGACATAACACGAGATATACTAGATATTAGATTTTATAAGCAGACTGAATATTAAGATATCTTATATATTTAAATGAGCAATTCTTGTATATATATGTATATATATATACATGTTTATTGGAATCTCGGAATCCGCTTCAACGATTTTCATGAAATTTAGTATGTAGGGGATTAGGGAATTTCGGGGGTGATAAATCGATCTAGCTAGGAATCACTTTTAGAAAATGTTATTTTGTTACTGTTATTTTATTTAAAAAAATACAAAAAGGAGTCGTTTAAAATATGACTCTTCCTGACATCTATTGGCGAATAGTAATACTACTTTTTGCTAATTGCTTTTACTAATTGATTTAACGACACAACAGCAGATGGCGTTGTTAAATACCAGGAAGTCAACGAGTGTTTGTTTTGAGGTTAGACTAAGAAATAAATTATTGATTTATGGGTGAATATACGCTATTTGAATTCCATTGGTCTATAGACAAATTTTATGTGAAACTTATTATATCATTGTCTCTCCATGCTTAAACAATGAAGAATATGGCATTTTATCTAACCCACAAAGACTATTCACGATAATTATTTAATTTAGATTTTTAATAATATTTTAAAGGTATACTCCTCTAGCCTTCCCATTTATGAATTAAAATGAACTTATGGCTGAATACTTTCAAAAGGTACACAATTATGTTTTTTATTTAATGTGTACATACCTACGCTTCAATAAACATCGAAACATATTTGAACAAAATTAAGAGTAAAAATATTTATTAATATAAAATAATATAACTTAATTTTCGAGTCATGTTACAATTCTGTCACTTCATCTGGCGGAAATCAAAGACTTAAAAATTTATTAAAAATCACAACTTTGTGCTTTGGATCTTAAAGAATAAATCCTAAATAATTTGAGCAAATTAAAAAAAAAAACTGATCAGTTTTCGATAAACTTTCGGAAAGTAATTTTGGCCCGTCGTTGGAATATTTCCTTTGGTAAGCATATATACTATATTTGAATTGTATCTGTGCCCTGGTGCTTATAAAAAAAAAAAAAAATAAATATAATCGTCTGGCCCCTGGGATTACTAATTTTAAAATAGTGTCAAATAAATAAATTATAAATTTTGAATGGAACCGATTACATTTCCTTCTGGGACACGAAAAAACCAAATAGCTTATATTCACCCTTATATTGTTTTATTAACGTATTTTTATTTTTGTCTTATTAACGTGTTCACTTAAAAATGCCTAAACGAAATAAAAAAAACACAAAATAAATACTAATAATTCTTAAATACCGAGCAAAGCTCGCTAACCAGGTATTTTATAATAATATTGCCAATGCGGTACATATACATATAAGGAAATGATGAAACCCGTTAAGGGTTTGTATTAATAAAAAGTGAAATATATTTAAAATACTTAGTCGTATTTAGCATTTCTCTAATATTATGCTTTTTATTTAAAAACTGTTTACATTCTACAAGTATTATATTCCGATCTTATCATATTTACCTTTCAGTCAGAACCAGGACTTTAAAAAAATATTAATAACTGAGAAGTAGGTTTTCTTTTTACACAATTTTTAAGGATTTTTTGATTTCATAGCCGCAGCAGCTCGGCCTACCGCCGTCACAACAGCCGGAGTCACCATCATCGTTTTGTTCTTGTAAGTATGGATCACTTGCTGAAATAAGAGATTCGATTTAAAAACGAAATGTTTTTACAGTTACGACAGCAGACTTCCAAATGAGTGAGAAGTAAATATTGTAAAGAATTTTGACCGATGCAACTTACCAACACTAATTTGATGAGGAATACGGCGAACGTTAAAAATGATATGGACATGAGAGCGCCTTCTGAAGACGGGAACTCAACGTGTCCGCGGCCCGTGTCCCGGGCGCGGCGTGAGGGACGCTCCTCCTCGTCCGGCCATGTACGGTCAACATGATCTTCTGTGGATGAACACACTTATAAATTTAGTGACTTGTTAATTGAAAAGAATTCTTTTTCGGTTATCCTTTGTACTTGCTAAATAGACGTAAATGCTGTTACGTTGTTAGGTAGTACACTGTACATTAAGTTTTATTGTTGTTTTTAGGATCTGATATTTTTTTGTCTGTTTCGTTCAGTAGTCTTATGTCCTAGTTATAGCATGTTTCTTCTACAGTGTTCTGTTTAAAACCATTGTAATCTGATATAATTTTAATACGTGAGCATACCTATACTTATAATATTTTATTTTTCAAGTTTTCCAAATAGTTGATCTTGCTTTTAAAACCTCTTTTGGTATTTGATGAAATTGTATCTGTAACAAGTTTTCACTAGCTTCCACACGGTGTTCATAGTATTCCCTTTGGTTTTGTGAGATATTTCCTCTGAGTTGGTGTTAACTTGTTGCTCTTCTTTGTTCATATTGTAATGTTTTTGTTGATTTTCATCATGTTCATCAAAGTCTTTAATATTATCCTGAGGTTTTTGTGTATTTTTTTCAGGTGAAATATTAATTCGGCGAAGAGGTGGTTGCTTCGTTGTATCTCTTACGAACGGCTTTTCAGTTAAACTTTCTTTTTGATCTTCATCACTAATTTTATTAACTTTTTCTTGATAAGTGATTGGTGGCTTTACCGTTGTGGATGTCCTTGACTTGTCAAAATATATCGTTTTACGTGTTGGATTAACTGAATAGGTTGGTGATATCGGTTTTTCGTTATTTACATTTCCAAATAAATTTTCTTTATTTATTGTATTTGTTGACAAAGGTACGGTTACAGTTTGTTGTCTGTCTATTTTAGTGTTTTGTGTAATATGAACATTGGGAAATGAAGACTCGTCTGAGTTTTTTTCGAATGAATGTTCTGTATGTCTGTGATCAGTGTTGCTCGGTAACTCTTCTTCATGATATCTGCTGAGTGATGATTGATGATGATGAGCCACGTTAAGTTTCGACTCCAAGTGGCTGTGTTTCTGTTCATGAGTGGCTCTGCTGTTCAATATGATTTTATCTTTGGGAATGGAAGTAGTTTTAACACTAGGGATATGAACCCTCTTAATGTTAGCTACATTTTGCACTCTATCCACAACACCTATTTTCTTATGTTTTTCCAGTACTGAATGATTCCTGTACACAGCTATAGCTGTGGTCCTTTCGTCCGCTTCAACGCGCCTTGTAAACGGCTTTGGGTTTTCATTGCGGTAATGATTCTGTGATATCTCCACCCAGTCACCACCAGCTCCGGAGAGAAACAGTAGCATCAGTATGTACATATTGTTGACGAATCACTCGTCAGTTATATAGCGTTGTATTCCCTGAACTGTCCTCAAGAGTTCGTCTCATATAGATCAAGTTATTTTACTTTATGTCACAGGGCTGACACTCGATAGACTGCTCGGATTTGTTTTAGCTGAACTTAATACTAATATAATTTTCAGTCACGATAATCAACGGTATAGCATATTTTATAATAAGAATCATAGGAATAGGAAAAACAGAAAAAATTTTCGTGTGTTCATTTCACGTATTCTTTGTATTTGAATCATGACAATAATTTCTCGTCGACAGCCCTGGATGTCAATTACACAGAGCGCGGTCGTTCCGTCGAGCGAGCAGCTGATAGGTTGATGTCATTAGAGTAACGGTGTCTGTAATGCTGTGTGATGTTGTTTGAGACGCGTCACATGTTAAACCATAAACTCTTCTCGTCAACACTCTTTTTAATTCGCGATGCTGGTTGACTATATAGATGCGATGATGTTTTGTGTCTTAATTTTGTGTTATTTTTTTTGTTTTATTTATCTATCCTATGTTCTTTTATTTTCTATTATTTTATGTACCTGTATACCTGTACCTTTTCTATTATTTTGACTGTGTGTTCGAAATAAAGATTATTATTATTATATTATATACCATGAAACATATATATTATGGCGATTTAATTTCAATAAGTATAGGAGACTGTTGTTGAGGCTTTTGGTATTGATGGATTCGTTTTTTTTAGCAGTGGGAAATCACTTAAACAGAATATCCTGAAATTCTACATTGGCACATTCCAAAGTATTCCGGATAAAAAAAAAACACAGAAGTATTCTGACAAATATTTTATTATTGTTATTTGCATTTTATATAAAAAATAAGTATATAATAAAAATAAAAGGCGTAAAGAGATGTCAACAAAAATAAAATAATAATTTCAAGAATCACAGTAAATGGAAGTTTGCTTCGTAGGTGACGTTAAAAATGTATAAAAAAATCACAGACTCATATTAAATTAATTACAGAAAGCGAAATGAATCTCTCGCGTCCCTCGGGACACTGACGTTAATGTATACTAGTGCTGGCCCGCGACTTTTCACATGACTTTGTCAAAAGTCATCATGATTGATGTCAAAAGTCATTATGATTAATGTCAAAAGTCGAGGAGCAGCCAGCGTTATTGTTAACTGTATGAGGCCGTATACGGAGTGTCTCTCGCGTCCGCGAGGAGAGATTGTTCCACGTACTTTAACTACACGTAATAAAAATAGCTTACAATAGTTTTAGGCCGTCGCTCGATCTCTTATCAATAAGTCTATCATTATAAGGAAGCTGTTTGAGGTTCATTTCTATCTAATCGTATTAAAAATATCAATAACAACGTCTCGTCTGGTCGAGGCGCGCTGCCCTCGTATATATTCAGCTAGCTCTGTATCTATAGTAATAATCTCTCTCTAACATCATTGTACATATCTATATAACAAATTCATTATATTATTGTTCAACTTGTGTATACATACAAGGTTGAGGGGCTTCGATTAGCTTATACTGGTTATAGAGTCGTGGGGGGTAGGGATATGGCTCCAGGCAGTTTCAATTTGTATTGCTTGTTATAACAATCTCTTTTTCTTATCATTTAAAGGTCGTCGTGACTGTAGGTGACTGTACCTCATACAATATAATGTTAAAACCTTAGCGATCTGAACTTCTCCCTACTAACCGTCTTTCTTAAATATTTATTATGCATTATTTGTGCTCCTAGCGGCTCCTTATTATAACAATATTATTTATCTTATAATTTATACTATCTATATAATTTGTATATATTTAAAATGTAATATTTTCTCCTTCCGTCGTATAAATAATATATTTTCTCTCATTTTTGGCACTCCGGTTTGCCACATGGTTCATGCACCATCAGAGTCGTCCTAACAGTACCTCCATCTCCGCGGCTGAGGAATGTGTCTCACGCGAGCTGGCGTGGTGTTAACACGCGCCCGGAACATTAACAATACTATACTTATTGTAGTCATAAATAATTTTCGGAAGAATGCGTATTAGAATATAATCACTAATATGTAACAACGTACAGTCCAACGACTGTACAGGCCGAGTCTCTTCCCGTCTCTTTTCCTTCTTAGCGGCGCCGCTCGTGTGTTACGTTAGATCGGGACGGGTGTATCCACGGCGGCGGTATACAAGCGGCGTGCCGGGGTCGGCGGGTCAGTCGTCGCTCGCGGCTGGCGGGCGGTGGTCGTCACTGATAGCGGTGGTCGTCGCTGGGGTGCGTCAGGTACCGGGTGCCGACGCGGGCCTCCAGCGCGCGGAGGTCGGCCCAGGCCTCGCGGGTCTGAAGCCACGAGTGCGCCGCGCACTTGTCCACCGAGAGCCGCTTGCGTTGCTTCACTTGCAGCAGGTTGTTGATCAGGTCGATGGCTGTGAGGGAGGATGAATAGTATAATATACATGATACTACTAGTGTATATGTATGAACTACAGAGACTAGTTCCTCTCGTGTCTTTCGACAGAAACTACTCCATATCGTCGTAGGCCCTATTTATCTATAAAATGTATACAATCATTTATAAATATATTTCAACTTAATAGAAATAAATGTAAAAAAGTATTAAAAGAATGGTTGCTAGCAAAGTCGTACAATGAAACTGAAAAGCTGCTCGAAGTCTTAGGTTCCTAGTAAGCACGCACACACACACACACACACACACACATACACACACACACACACACACACACACACAAACATCTATACTCATGATCAAATTTACACATACTACTAATTCTATTTTACTACTATGTAGTTATATTCTAATTTAAAGCTAACGATAATATGCTTAGCATACACTACATCATATATTGTGTTGTTTTTTTCGCTATTTCACTTTAGTAAAATTGGTAAAATGAATCCTTTGCAACAGGAGAGTACTGTCGCCTGAAATACAGGTTTATATCTAGCTCGAGGGACAATAGAGTAGAGTAGAGTAGATTTTATTTACATATAATACCTTTAACCTTTATGTATTGTGATCAGATTATGTTAATGTCTATACAATTGTAATGTGTTTGAGATAAATAAACATTATTATTATTATTATTTGTTTTACTACAATCGCCCTGTCCACGTGGCATACCTTGCGGTGAGATCTCCCTCCAGGGCGCGGGCGGGTACATGAAGGCCGCGTTCTGTATCTGCTCGTGGATGTCCTCGTCCTCGTTGAAGGGGAAGGTCCCGGACAGCGACACGTACACGATCACGCCCACCGACCACATGTCCAGCGAGCGGTTGTAGCCCTTGTTGCGGAGCACCTCCGGGGCTGCGTGGGAAGTGGTAATAAATATACTGTGTATGCTATATTATACAATTAACTCAGTGTAAAGTCTCCTTTATAAAACATCTCATGTATACATCCAAATATGGTGGACCACCCATTGGCCCAAGCTTTCATTATGTTATGTTAAAATCTACTATTATTATTAAATGTGACTTATAGCTACAAAGACGTTTCTTTTCAAAGCCAGTAATTAACCACAATCATCATCATCATACAGTGTCATCAGTATTACTACTCATTCTCATGTCTAGTATCGTCTGTCCTCACCGAGGTACGCGGGTGTGCCCACAACTGATCGCCTGAATGACTTCTCCCCTATGATGCGCGCGAACCCGAAGTCACACAGCTTGACCTGCGGGAAGGTCTCGTGTGAGGAGAGCAACACGTTCTCCGGCTTCAGGTCACAGTGGACGATGTTCTTCTCGTGGAGATGCTTCAGGGCCACCAGGATCTGACGAATAGAAATTAGTATTTTATTAATCACTGTAGAGAAGTTTTATATCTTTTTATAGTTATCATCTCTCTTGCAAAGACAATTCAGGAAAAAAAAAGTCAGAAATTCAATCAATTTTAAAAATTAATTCACCAGAAAGTTGTTAAAATTTTAAAATTGTAACATTATTTGGATGAAACTAGTATTTGAACGACAGTCATCATAACTTAGATGTATATAACTTGCGTCGGATTATAAAACTAAACTTTTGTCAGTTCTATCGGGGGAATCGGTTTTCGCAACCCAGATGATAGGTCAATAAATATCTTATATATTTAAACGAGCAATTCTTGTACATACATTTTGTATATATATACATATTTATTGGAATCTCGGAATCCGCTCTAAACTATTTTTGTGAAATTTAATATTTAGGATATTTCGTGGGCGAGATAAAACGATCTAGCTAGGAATCATTTTTAAAAAATGTTATTTTATTAAAAAAAAAATACAAAAAAGAGTCGTTTAAAATATGACCCTTCCTGACATCTATTGGCGAATAGTAATACTACTTTTTGCTAATTGCTTTTAATCATTGTTTAACCCTTAACCACCTAAGTGAGTATTTTTAATAATTCTACTAGACCACTTGATATTTGGAGTTTCTCTCTTATTTACGGATGAGATTTTGGACAAAATTTTACTACACACAAATAATGAAATAAGACTAATGAAATCAAAATACAATACGTATGATATAAAAAGGAAACAAAAAACGGCTAATTACGTTTGGTGGCAGCGAAGGATGCAAGAAATATCCGTTTTACTTATAAAATATATTAAATTTAACAATTAAGACTTAAATTTGACTACTAGCTAGAGCGGGGTCTATAAGTTAGCGATTGACTTGAGACCCATTCTATAATTAAATCCTATAACTAACTACATCCTAAATAGGTGTCTGTAAGTCAGCGGTTGACTGCACACTGAATATATGTTGAATCCCATTTTGCATTCCAACCGAGGGTACAAGGTGTGTGGTGTCACCTTCACTTCCCCATTCCCACCAATGGCTTAGAGTCAGCATTCCGTACTTTACGCCATTGTTATATCGTAAATTTATTATCTGGTTATGCTTATGTAACAGGCTTACCTATGTTTTGTATGTAAACTACCTATTTGTTCGGAATTTATGTAAAAAATGTGTTGTTACTGCTGTGAAAAAATGTAAAAGTTGAGGCGTTGCAATTTTGTTCAATTTTTTTATTTGGTTTTATTTTAAGTTTATTCAAATTAAAAGAAATAAAAAAATTAAAGTTTTAGTATTTTAGAACAAAGATCTCATTTTCTTAGTATTGTTATTTATGGTGCCATATTCCTTATATCATAGATATACAGGGTGACTGGTGAATTACTATCAATATTTAAGGAGAATACTCGGTACATGGTTCTCATTCGAATTATGTAAAAAAAATAGGCACTTAATTTTTGACAAAATTTCCGCATAAATAAATAAAGTGTTGACACGTTCCAAATGTTCCAAGTGTGGACGCGTGCGGCGGCGTGCTGATACAACACCACGCCGCCGCACGCGTATGAGTGTGTGTGTGTGTATACCTAATCTGTAGGGTGTTCACACGATGCGTAATTAATTACATAACTTTTGGTTAACTTTACCTAGAAGTTTATTAATATTTATGTTATATTAATTTTTATTTTGTCATATATGATCGTCAAATATCACGTCCTCAAGTATCGATAGTAATTCACCAGTCACCCTGTAATTCCATTTTTATAAAACATTTTAATTACTTTTGCTAATTTGTGACGCATAAATAAAGCAATTAAGTATAGCCGTGTATTTTATTTAACTAGACTTTAATTTCTTATCATAGATTCCAAAATAATCGCAGAAATTTATGAGCGGTCTCTGTGATCGCACGTACCTACGTAACCACCTGGTTAAAGGACAAAAATAAGTGGCAGGTGTTAAGGGCTAAACAACACAACAGCAGATGGCATTGCTAAGTAACAGGAAGTCATTGAGTGTTTGTTTTGACGTTGGACTAAGGAATTAATTTTTGATTTATATTGTTTTGTGTCTTAACGTGTTCAGTTAAAAATGCTTACACGAAATATAAAAAAAACACAAAATAATTACCGAGCAAAGCAAAAGCAAAGCGGTGACCAGATATATACAACTTTATTTATAAAGATACTCGCCAGCGATATAGTTTTGTTTCGTATAATCAGTACCTGTGCGACCAGGAACTTAGTGATCCTCTCCGTGAGGCGGCCCCTCTCGTGAGACAGTATCATCTCCAGCATGTCTCCCTTCAGCTTCTCCATGACCACGAAGATCCTCTCCGGCGTCTCGAACATACGCTCCAGGTCAACGACCCCGGGGTGCGACAGGTTCTGTAGGATGGCTACTTCATTCTTCAGCTGGGCCTCCTGCTTGGTCGGGAACCGGAGCTTATCTATCACCTGAAATTAATAGAAAATGAACAATTAAACAACAAGTATTTATTTGAAGTGTAATAATATATAGTGTGTATGCTATATTATAGAATTAGTCTAGTGTAAAGTCACTTTTATAAAACATCTCATGTATACATATGGTGGACCACCCATTGGCCCAAGCTTTCATTATGCTATGTTAAAATTTTCTAATATTATTAAATATGACTTAAAGCTACAAAGACGTTTCTTTTCAAACCTAGTAATTATAGCGGTTTGCATATACCTAACGGATTCTTTTACGTCCATTTGCTTTAACAGAAAATCAGGAGATATTTTAAGTAATGTTTATTTAGTTTGTTCCATAGAAGTAAAGAAACCACATCATCTCTACTGTAAACGTATTAAAACTACGAATGACATTTTAATACTGTCTTTATTTTTCTTAGCTAACCAATTCTATTTTCGATCCCTTTCACACAATGACTTATCTTGCATCTCTCTCTCTCACACTCTAACGGTTACTGCGTATATTAACTGCATAACAATTGACAGATGATATAAAAAATGTTTAGACAGATAATAATAATTCTCCTTACACTACAAGAACCTTAATGTTTCTCATGTGACTAGTGTCGTGTACCTTAATGGCGACTGGTCTCTGCGTGTCTCTGTGTAGCCCCCCGTACACGATCCCGAACTGCCCCGAGCCGAGCACCTCCCCCGGGTGTATCTGGTACAGCTGAGCCATCTCGGTGGCCCTCCCCCCCGCGCCGCACGACCCGCTGTCCCCCGCACCACCGCCGGATTCAGTCGCCCCGCCGCCCGCCTCCACTGATATACATATTACAAATATTTATTTAAAATTGTTTTCTTAAGAATTATATTTATTTATTTTATTAGGAAGCCAACATAATGTACAATGATCTTACAAAGTACACTACACTTAAAGGCTAACTCAGCATGCATTCACAAAATATATATAACAAAGCAACTTATTAAATAATAAATAATATAGAATAAAGTAGAACTTTTTGTAAGAGGTGTATGGACTATTCCGCAGATATTATTTACAATAAGTATATTTAACATTAAAAGTTTAAAGTTATTTTTTATTTTTGTTTTATAAGATTTTAGATTATCGTTATATATATATATCAATACCCAGTTTTTTAGAAATATTATTATAACTTCTACGAGCCCTGTTTAAAGGTGTTTATTCCTAAATTTGTTCTTGCAAACCGACATTTGAAAGTTGGTGTATTTGTATGCCTCGCGTTAGGTCTCGGTACTACTATATTAAATTCTTTTAGTAATTAAGTACAATCAATGTTACCTGATATTATTTTATGTAAAAAGCATAAGTCCAGCATATCTCTACGATTTTTTTATCATAAAGTAATGTTTTAATAAAGCATCATAATTATTAAGCATAATCGTGTTTCTATCTTTGAATCTTACAAATTTTAGCAATTTCTTTTGAATTCTCTCTATCCTGTCTATATGAACAATATTCTAATTTACTTCTTATAAACGAATTAAATAATGTTATTACAGAATCTGATTTTTTAAAGGCTTTTGCACTTCTTTTTATGAATCCTAATATTTTAAATGTTTTACTGGCCAATTCGTCTACATGTGGAATAAGCTCATTTTAGAGTCAACACTTATACCTAAATCTTTTATTTGGTTAATTATATTTAAAATAGATTCCTTTATCTTGTAGTCATAATAATATTTGATGTTTTTCGGCTGAGCGTTAAGATGTAACATTTGCTTTGATTTAAATTCATATAATTTTCGCTACAGCATTTCGCAAATCTGTCTAAGTCTAATTGTAGCAGTTCCGAATCCTGTAAACTATTTATATTCCTATATGTTGATATCTTTGCACGAAAAATTTATTCGACTTCTTTATTTTCCATGATTTTTTTTTTGCAAATTTCAATAAAAATATTCTAGAGCAAAAAGAAGTAAAAATTCTTTACATTTGAGAGGAAGACTCTACTCATATCTTGTTGCCTTTTAAGTGACTTTATATTATTTGTGTGTGTGTGTGTGTGTGTGTACCGGAGCGCGTGTGCGGCATGAGCGCCTGCCTGAGCGCCGTCTCCCAGGAGCGCGCGAGGTAGGCGCCCACCCCGGAGTCGGGCGGCGGGAGCGCTCCGCCCGCGCCCCCCCACGCGGGGTCCACACCCACCAGGTAGTCCACGTTGGCCGTGCGCAGCTCGAAACAGTGCATCACCTCTGAAAGACACAACCAGAATACGATACATTAGATATAAGATATGTCATCAGCCTATCAGAAGCCCACAGCTGAGCAAGGCCTCTTTCTCACATGGAGAAGGTTTGAGCTTTAATCACCACGACGAGTTGGTGATTTCAAACTTATAATTGTGTAATTATAAGTCCAGGTTTCCTCACGATTTTTCCTTCACCGTATGCCGTATATATTAGATATGTGTGTCTGTATATAAGTTCACCTCCCCCCACTCACCGGCCTGAGGGACCCTGGCGCTGTCCACGGCCAGTATCTCGTTGAGCGGTATCTCCTTGTAGTATTTGGTGCCCTGCTCCGACGTGAACAGCGTCACGGACTCGCTGTCCAGACGCCAGTAGTGACGCTTCATCTGGAATTCACATCAACAGTATATTAACTCTAAACCACTTAAGATTAAGAACCCATATATTAGATGATTTCACTAATCTTGTTTAATATCACTACTGTTTATTATTTGTAATCTTAATTGTGGTTAAAATTTTATAAAATTTCCTTTGTAAACGAACTTTGTTCTTTTTGGAAATAAACTTGTTTAAACCTAAACCACTTCTCTACACTGATCATGAACGTTACTACTGAACACTAGGTAGTTTCTCGTGACACAGTATGTATATATATAAGTATAGTCGTATCATATCATACCGTCTTATCCTTGTTGGTGAAGTGCACGAGCCAGCCCTCCTTGAGCCACTGCCCGTCGCGTCTCTTGGTGTGCTTCACGGACTGCACGATACGCATCAGGGGGATGTTGGTGCTCGGAGATGAAGACGAACTGTAAAATCATGGTAAGAAGAATTGTTCTCAAGCTGTTTATTTAAGAGCCGTATCAGAATATATTCATATATTTAAGATACTTATGAAACTTGTAATTTATACCCGATTGTAAACAACTAAACGAAACACTTCGGATATATCTTTATATATATAATTCTTCTGCGAGTGTTTATGTCACTGAACTTCTCTCAAATGACTGGACCGATTTTGATGAAATTTTTTGTGTGTGTTCAAGGGGATCTGGAAATGGTTTGGATTCACAATTTTGTACGCTGGGCAAAGTTTTTTTTAATTAATTTTTAATTTATTAGTAGTTGTTGATACAAACTTTTTTTTACATTAGATTTGACAACTAACTAATATGTCAATCATTCTGTCGCACTTCAAAACACGGAGATTTGTGGCTTTAATAGTGGTAAGCTCCAAAAATATAAATAAAAAAACGTAACAGATATTTCTTGATTATAGGGCGATACGAAGTTCGCCAGGTCTTCTAGTATTTTATAAAATTAGATCGTGTTTTTCAATTTTATTGAAACTAATAACTTTACCTTCGACTGGCAAAATAATATCACAGTCTGGAAATTTATTAAATACTAGTTTTTGCCCGCGACTTCGTCCGCGTTAGTTTGGTCAAGAGTAATATATGTAGGTATAGCTGACCGGGCGAACTCTATTCCGTCTTAGAGGCCATAAATAATCAGGTTTCTCCTGTTTCAATCAAACAGAATGATTGACATATTAGTTAGTTGTCAAATCTAATGTTAAAAAAAACGTTTGTATGGGAAATAGAAAAGGGCTGTTTTTAGGGGGTTCCCGGAAATTCTAATAACTTTTAAACCTTCTGGACTGACTAAAATTAGCCAAATATCACAGTCTAGGAGACTAAGGAACAGCAATCCATTTTTATATATATAGAAGATGTAAGCTCATTACCTGCTGGGTCTACTCGCGGCCCGCTCGGGGATCACGTCACGTTGAGGCTCCTCCTCACACTCACGTAACGCGTTCTGTAATACAATACAATTAATAAGTTTATTTATAATTCTTTGGCTTTAAGTGTTGTCAATTCAAAATCTCTAAATATATTTAAAAAACGATTAAGAACCCATATATTAGATGATTTCACTGATCTAGTTTAATATCACTACTCTTTATTATTTGTAATCTTAATGTAGTTATAATTTTTAAAATTTCCTTTGTAAGCGAACTTTGTTCTTTTTGGAAATAAAGTTCTTTTAAACTAAACCTATTTGTATACATGTGTGCTGGCCATCGAAACAAGATAGAACATGTAAATAAAACTAACACTGTCGACCCATACGATAGTAGTTTATATAATATTTTTAATATGGATGTAAGGTGGCCACGAATATCAATAAATTAAAAATAGTGAGAAATAAAACTTGAAAAAGAATACAAACTATTAATCATAATTTTCGATTGAAATACAAATGTAATTTACGTCTTCGAATAATATTAGGAGAAAAACAAATACCTTAGGAAGAACATAGGGTTACACATGTGTTTTACTGTATTATCTATAGCTTTTTAACAAGAATTCATCAAAGTTTTAAGCACAAACTTTTCCAAAAATAAACACTATATTGACATCTGTTCGTCATGTTTGTCCCAATGAATAGTGTCCCGGTCGTAATCAGTTAGTTATCATATGTTATCTTGTTTCGTTGTCCCTACTATATTTACGGTGAAAAAAACATCGTGAGGAAAACTGGACTTATAGTTTCACAATTATAAGTTTGAAATCACCAACCCGTCTTGAGCAAGCGTGGTGATTAATGCTCAAACCTTCTCCATGTGAGAAAGAGGCCTTGCTCAGCAGTGGGCGCTGATAGGCTGATGACATAACATGACATGACAGTATCTATATGTATGTCATACCTCCTCGTGGTTGTGGTTGTTAGACTCGTTGTCATCTGAGTCATCATCAGCTCGATGTTCGGACAGCTCGCTGCTGGTACTGATCGTGTCGTCCTTCTCGCCTGTATGTGAACATAACTCCAGGTTACACCATAATCAAATTATTGAACGAAATTACTATATGAAAATAGATTTTATTTATCATATGAAATCATTATTACTTCAGTAATCACACAGGTTGATAGTAGTGGATCATATTAAGTACGATGTCGGTATTTATTTTCTATTTTTGTACAATTGTGTACTCTTAACTGTATGCAAAATGTATTGATGAAAAAAAGATTCAAGGATTTTGTGTGTTACAATTCACTGTGAGCCTGTGACCCATGAACCTTCAGTGATGATAGTAAAATGATGTGGTGATGAAATCTTTAAAAATGCCTAATCGAATGGATTTTCTAATGAAAAATAAAACGCGAAGTAAAATCCGAAAATATTAGTTTCATTTAAATGAGTACTCGCGAAAATCTATAGATCTCATAATGCCTATGGAACATGTCTTAGGTCAAACCTTGCTGGTCCCTGATCTCCCCGCCGCAGTCCTTGGGCACGTGCGGCAGACACTTCCTGTGCGCGTTGTAGTGACAGTCGCCACACTGCAGGCCCTGCTTGAACAGTCCGCGGAGCAGCTTCTTACAGTGTCTGCACACGGTGGGGCGCGTGTACGTGTGCACCTGGAACGTGTGCGGGATGCCCAGCGAACTCCAGGACGTGGCGCGCTTGGAACTAGACGCCGTCTGTCGGACACACGACACACTCCACACATCATATTATGACACCTTTTATACATCTACCCTCAATTCGACCTCATCTTTTATGATTTATAACGAACTCTTTGTTTTACTTTAATATTAAAACGAGTGTTTTTTAATATTTTTGGGGTTTGGGTGATGGGAGCAGGAGAATTAAATAAAACTCGTATGAGATTAAACAAGATTTATTATGTATAAATAAAGTAACATACAAAATACAATGCTACCCACCACCCGGTGTTACACTCGGTTAGTAAATTTTACATTAAATCTTTATAAGATATGTTTGTTATTTTTCCATAATAAAAATAATAATAACTATATAATATAGTTTCCTGAGAACTCGGCTCTCGTATATCAGAATGTCAAAAAGTTAAAAATATTTAAATTATATTTATATTAGAAATTAACTTGTGATACACATCGTTAAATAAAAATATTATAACAGTACATAATATGTCACGTGCCTTACACAAGACTCTAGCTTTAAATGATAGTACTCATTAGTACATGAGATACTTTTAGCATGACTGATCAAACGAGAAGGAATTAATGAATGAAGAGGGGCGGACGGAGACAGTGTGGTGGGATTGATACCACCAATAACGAATGAGAGTGAGACTCACACAAAATATAATGGTCACCGGTCGCTAGATTCGAATGAAACAAGCTCATGCTCTTGTATTGTAGTGAATGATTCTATGGACCATTCATTCATAGAAAAATTGTAGGCTCTACTGAAAAGCGACTAGTAGTGTACGACGATAATATAACATAATCACGGGAAAAGATCGTACATTCAAATGTATGACCATACAATGATGTGTTTAATCGGCCATGCCAAAAATATCGATTGCTGTAAGGTAACAAGTGGAATGATTACGTATATAGTCTTAACATATAGTAGTTCGTTGATCAGATCGTCGTATCTTTGTAAGTACAGTATGTTGTCTGTGTGTGCTAGTCGTTGTTCCCCGTCACGAGGTGTGCGAGGCGCCTTACCAGCGAGTCCTCCTGCGAGGACTGTGACTGTGAGGGTCCGTGCGAGGAGCGCGAGGGACTCCGGGGCGCGCCCGACGCACGCCGCACCCCCGCCGCAGGCGTGACGGATGCACTGCTCTGGCAGTTGGACGGCACCTTCACCGCGCAACGCTTGTGGTAGTTCAGTCCGCAACCTGATCGATAGTAGTACGGATTTGTATTGAAGGATAAAAGATAAAATGGTATTTCAAAATATTTATTATAGAGGTCGTCATAGTGAACTAATAATAATTAATTATTGAAGACACTTTCAGCCCCCCCCCTCGTGAAGACGATCGCCACCAAGTAGTGTTATCTCTCAAAAAATCATATTTTTATTTCAAGTGTTAAAAAATTCTAGTGACTAGTTGACTGTTATCTTTTTTGAGTCAGTGAGATCATACGTTGGTACTCATTTAATTTCTTTGATACAAAAAAAAAAAAAAATATAACTGTAATAAATAACTGTACATATGTAATAATTGGTATATAAGGAATATTAGTATATACGGAAAAATTAGTATATATGGAAAATTGGTATATAAGGACTATTAGTACATACGGAATGTTTATGATTTGTTATTTTATGATGGTGGCTATCCATACTCAATTTATAATGTTATAGATATGTATGTTAACCCTCCTACCTTCACATTTAAGTCCCTGCCGCACGAGTCCAAACAGCATCTCGCCACAGAAGTCGCAGAAGGTTGGCGCCTTGTAGGAGTGTACGGCTAGTGTGTGAGGTCGGAGAGCAGGCACGGGCTCCTCTCCCGAACATAGCAGGGCTGAGGACGATTGGGTTGTTTAAGGATACAGTCACAGTGATAGTTGTACTGTTGATGAGTTAACTCACGGTTAGCGGTGAGTACGATCTCGACCAGGGTCTCGTCAGTCACGTCCGAGGCGGAGTTGATGAGCTGCAGCACGTTGGGGGAACAGTAGTCGTGACGGAACAACAGGATACGATCGGACAGGCGGTTCAGACCGTTCTCTGGGATCTGGGGGAAATAATGATAACACTTGTAACATACGTACTTGATAGTTTTTGTGATGAATCAGATTAGTCTCAGAGATAAACTTATAAAGATCGTCAAAATAATAAAAATGGAAAGAAATTAGCGCGACATTCATTATAAGTACCATAGTCAAGCCATGACCCTGTGCTATTCACAATTGTAAATTATTGGTTATGGAGCTTCAGGTTCTATTACAGTCTCATATCTTACTTTTGATATCTAAGCAAAATTAGTAAGAAAATTCGATAAGTTGTTTTTGTACGGTAGATTCAAGAACAATCGTTTCTGAACATAACCGCAGCCAACCTTTTCGTTGACGAACTTGACGGCCAGTTCCTTCAGCAGCGCCAGCGTCAGTCGGTGGAGAGGAGCGCTGACAGCATCACGAATGACGCCCAGCTGGAACAGGAAGGTCACCTCGTCCTCCATCACTGGAACAACAACCAATAATTAAATCTCACACAAGTATGGACCTCAATACCATTTACAGAAAACCTCGTCTCATATCATCTAATTTAGTTGAGTTCTCGGTCGAAAGCAATATACATAATATGTAAATAAAGTTGCAAATTTATTATAATCATGTCATATTTCATCACGCCTTATTTGTTTGAATCATTTTTTTCTGTTTTCGTACCGCGGAGACCTGTTTCCTCATGTCGCTTGTCGCTCTTAAATAAAACCGGTCACCAACAAAAAAATGTTTCGAACCAATTTGATATAATGTATTATTTCCGCATTTTTCTCATTACTATGATAATGTTCGTAGGTATTTTACGGATATATTAATTTTACATATTTTTTACATGGAAATATATACATACATCGAAGCTCTATAGCTAATGGGGTGACAAAATATCTGACTATAATACTTTCGTATACATTATTATAATATACATATATGTATATATACTAGAAGACCCGGCGAACTTCGTATCGCCCTATAATCAAGAAATATCTGTTACGTTTTTTTATTTATATTTTTGGATTTACCTATTAAAGCCATAAATATCCGTGTTTTGAAGTGCGACAGAATGATTGACATATTAGTTAGTTGTCAAATCTAATGTCAAAAAGAAAAGTTTGTATCAACAACTACTGATAAATTAAAAATTTAATAAAAAAACATTGTTCAGCGGACAAAATTTTGAATCTAAACCATTCCCAGATCCCCTTGAACACACACAAAAAATTTCATCAGAATCGGTCCAGTCGTTTGAGAAAAGTTGAGTGACATACACACTCACAGAATATATGTACTGAATTTGATATAATTATACTAGATAATAATTCGCTATGAATAACGATTGAAACGAACCGACCGCAACATAACATGATATATACCCTAAACATAATATACTATGTATAACTTAACAGAGTGATTCAAATCCAAGGCGTTTCTAGTTAATGAAAATATTTGTGTCTTGTACTGTAGGATCTGTCTGAGAGTGTTAGTTTTTACACTTGTATAATGTTGTATAGTAGAGTGTGAGTAAACAACGTGAGCATTCATGTTGTCAGTCTGATCTTTACTAGTTGTATTCTTCGTCTCCTCCTGTGTTAATAAATTTTTCTTAAATAATATGTATAAACATATTAGTCCTCTCGTTATATTTCATGTATCATATATTCTCACTGTTGTCATGGATTTTGAAATATTAAAGAACATTAAAGATTGCTCAGTAAACCTTGATCTAAACCCACATACTCCAGTGAGTTCGTGTATACTACGGATTTCCTCGATGTTATACTAAAATTGAATAAGATTCCTTATATAGTGTTATGAGTAAGATTGTTCACGTTGTTGATGCTTGATATTGCCTAATATTATCAAGGACATGTGACAAAAATATCGACCGGGTAGAAGCTTTATGCGGACCTTAAACTATATTTATTTATTTATTCATTTGTAGAAACACTGAACAATGCAACATATAGTAAACGTTGACGTCCACACTAAGCTAGGCTTGTATCGTGGACATAGATTCATTTCTAGCAGACACGATTCAGTAAATTTTACTATTCTTAAAAAAAAAATAGTAAATTACAATCACACAGAGAGTGGTACTGTACTTAAAGTTGTTAACAATTAAAAAAAATAATAAAAAAATCTTTATGATATTAAGATATTACAACATTTTAAAAATTAATTATATTAGGGAAAAAAAATGTATACATATGTATAAAAAAGAAAGTTATTTTAGTTATACTATTTATAACACAAGAACGGATGTAGGGATATGGTTGAAGATTGGTGGGGTGATAGCTTAGAACCATGAGGAGGACAGAGATCACAAAATAAAAAAAACTAGGACAAAATAGAGTTCGCCGGGCTGTTAACTGTACATATATCCATAGCTCGTAAATTAACGCAGACGAAGTCGCGGGCAAAAACTAGTGTATAATAAAAATATATTTCTGTAATCATCATCACATTATGTGATTCACATAGATATGGTACGATGAAGCTGGTATATTACAGGTGCAGTTGTTTGTGACTTTAGGATCCCATAAATACATAGTTGCAATTATGTTATTATCTTCCGAAAGTATTGAATTTTAAGGTTGAAGGGATAAAGAAATTGAAAATCTGCAAAAACTGCAGTGTTTTAACAAACTTCTGGCTGTGTTCATAATACAATATTGTTAAACAAAAATGTATTAGAAGAAGTAAGATAATTTTATAAGATAATAATAATTAATCATTTAAAATTGATAAAAATTATAAGTCCGTCAAACAGATAGTATTCCTCTCCGTCTAAGAGCAGCAATCTGTTGGTATGATAAGAATCTATTTATTTACAATAATAATGTTATTTATATTGTTATCGTGTGATCATTGATCCAACGTGGAGCTCATGGTCAAGGCTGGCTGCCCTCGGCACGAGTAGCCCTTACAGCGAGAGGCACTCCCGAACAACGGCCGGGGTTACGGGATTATCACCACACAAACAGACTCATGACACCGATACAACACGCCGATTACCGATATGTCTTATATGAACATGAGAAGGTAGGTATGACACACGTTCAGAGTATTACGAGCGTACGACTACTGAAACTATACTGTTTGATGAGTTCGTGGTGACGTTTACCTATGTCCTTTGTTTTAGTGATGACATTTATACAACTAAAAAGCATAGGAGAACTATCATTAAGTAAGCTGTAAACAATAAACATATACATTTGATATATGCAGATATGATTTGCAATCTACTTGATCGTCAGACGCGTGAAGTCCCACGGAGTAACAATGAAGTAAAGACCGTCATTAAACAATTAAAATATATATGTACTATATATGTTATTATACTATAATACTTCGCGGTCCTCGCGGGTGGTGATAGGGGGGGGGGGGTCGTTGACCTCTGAGTCAGTGTCGCCAGTGTCTTTGCCAATCTCATCAGTGTCTTCCACAGCTGACATAAAACATTATTGATGATGGATTTTTCAGTTTTTACATTAGGCAGGAATTCTTGGCACTGCATCATCTTAAACATTCCGTTAGACTCCTGTCGTCAAAATATTTTCTTTGTGTTTTGTGTGATTTCACATTTTTAAAGCTCACTTTCCCTGGCACGTGTTCGAATTTTTTTTTAATAATATTAACGAACTATCAAGTCAGTCTGTTCCGTTTAGAAGCCTTACAGTGAAGTAGGTAATTTAGAACCCCTTCATAATTTCAGGAAAAGGTTAATAATGTTTCATTAAAATTCTGGGAAATGTACAACATTTGAATACCGATTTTTTTTTTATTAACAAGACTTTTATGAAATAAGTTTTACATATATTATTATTATATTTAAATATGTGTAACATTTGTATGAAAATTAATATTAAAGAGTGTCTTTATGTTAATCTCATATTAAAAGAATTTTTAACACCTCACAACTGGCTGTTAAAACGAGATCCAGATACTTATACATATAATATATAATGAACACTAAACCGAAAAATAAAAAATTTAATAACTTTGTTTCTCAAATAAACTATACATATTGGTTTCGACATTTGACATTAAATCTTTTTTTTAAATCACTTAACGACCTTAAGTATTGCCTCGAGTATTTTTTGTGACAAATAATACTCATTAAAATAATTAATGTTTTAAAAAAATTATTTAAGAAATAATAATGTATATGATATGTATGTATATCACAATATCTGATAAAAAATATTGTAATAAAATTGTAAACAATTAATTTGCAGACAATTTATAATCGACTCAAAAATATAATAAGCATGAATAAAATATGCCGACTTTAAACATACAATTTATATGGGAAATTGTGGGAAAAACTAAAACGTTAACCTTGATGATAAAATTAACATAATATGAACAAGTGGAATAACAGAGGTCAAACATTTGATACATTAAACGTGTGTTTGTCTTCTGTTTTTAATAATTATGTATTAGGTTAATGATGCTCAGAGCATTACAGGAAGAGAAATACTAAGTTACTTGACAACTGAACCACTTATGTGTCGTAGGAAAGAAAACATTAATTGATAGTTACTGCTAGGGCTACTGCGATCTGTATAATTCTATGCTAAAGAATATCTCCGTATCTCTCCGTATGTATCCGCATCTCTCTCGCATCTCTAAAGTCCGATTCTATCGATTCCTTAGTATGTGAATTCACACATTGCTATCAAATCTGCAAATTGCTATCAAATCTTACTAAACCTTCCACATATCACTCTAGTGTTAGTGTTTAATCGACTTTAACTGTTGCTCTATCAATGCTCTGTACTGTACGGAAGCAGTACTCACTCCTGTTCTATGAGTGATTTCCTTGCATCACAATGTCATATTTCTTTTCCTCTTTAAATTTAGAGTCGCTAGCTATCGTTCATTTTTTACGATCTAATGAAGTGTCCAGGGTAAGTGAGATTTTAACATCTGTAAGCTACTCCTTACTACTGTATATATAGAAGAGTAGTTTCCAGTTGTTGTGTGAAATGCGTCTGCCTCATACACGTGCCGCGGAGAGCCTTGACCTCCGTGGAGCCAGCCTGAATGCCTGGTTTATTTGTATGTTTGTAACATCGTTTATTTTTTATTATATTCTTAAATCACTAATTAAACAGGATTAAGAAACAGCTTCTCGGAAAATATTGAAGTCAAACTGGTAATTGTAAATTGAATTGTTATGGCTTTAAAAAAAATCTGGTATAATAATCATTAAAATGAACAAAGAAACAACTTAAGAAAACTTTGATAAGTGATGATGATAAGAAACATTCCCGGTGATAATTTTCTATATGAATAACTAGAGAAAAACTCCGGTGATACTTAGAAATCTCTATATAAAAATGCCTAAATTATTCCCGTTTTATTTTTATCCATACTATTACTATGAAATATTGTTTATTATAAACATCACATTGTTTATTTGTTATTTACATCAGAGTACGTGTTAGTTGATGATGAGTGACGTCACTGGGTGGTGTGTCCATAGGGTCGACGGCTTGTATTGACACTACTGGATCTAGTAATACGAGCAAACAAACAAAAATAATAACTTGATAAGGTTCCCATATACCCAAACAACTTCATATGATAAACCAGGAACAAAAGATGTTCAGACTTCAGTCTTCCCTATTTCCTATTCCATCATTATAAATATTAGTTATTAGTTTCTAACTTAAAAAAATCAAAATACATCATATACGATCGATCTTAACTAAAATACGTAATGTACTATTTTTATTATTTCAATATATTCCAGTGACCAAACATGTTATGTGTTATATAGTTCGACCGAGCTGGCACGTGGAGTGATTGGTTTCTTCGAGCTGGTTCGCTCTGGTGGACGCCGGGTCAAATCCTCCATTAATATAGATAGGAGCGTTTTCTAAGCATTTCCATGTAAACACCAAAACAGACTTGATTAAATTTAGATTGAGGTCAAATCACGACCGCTAACACACATAGAGGCTCTAAATTCATGTATTTTAATATCACTTTTCTAATTGTACGCATTTATTTTGTACGATCTAAAATACTAAGCAATTTTCAAATGTTAATGGTAAACTGTCTGTGCTTTATAACATTTTAATTCATAAACTAATAGCATCCTTATCTTTAATTAGTTGAATTATGATACATACTTATAAAAAATAGTAATAGTATTTACTGTCTTAAGGGATACAGTCGCTTGATGTGTCTCGGTAACGAAATAAGGGCTTATCATTTGCAAATTTGCAACCCTTTTCCAAAATACAGACACGAAAGGACCCCCTAACAGAACGTTAAATCCGCTGACATTACTAAGTTAAAACAACAATATTTCCTTCATCATCACTACATCGTAAATAATAATATATTTTGCTCACACTTCACATATAATAATAATGATAAAAGGTTGAACATCGCTCACACCATGTTAATGACAAAAACTTTACACGTGTTTACAAAAAAACAAAACCACCTTAATTCCGGCTACCGAGCAGTTCGCTCCTTACGTCACCTTAATGTTGTGTGCACGTGGAGGCTGGCAGTGAGGAGGTGACCTGGCCGGAGGTATGACGTCACGAGATTATAACAACACTACCCAAAATAATGGAACTCGTGGAGAGTCTTGAACCATGTAGGCTAGTCATTTAGTTCAGGAGAGAAGACAGTTGAAAAGCAAGGAGCGCTTTATGTGAAGGAGAGTGTTTGAAGCATCTACTACAGTACAATGAGAACCTGTTATAACAGTGACGATGTCGATCAAGGTCAGGAACAGTTTCAATATTTTGATTTTGTAATTGTTTAATATAAGTAAATGGTTTAATCTATTTTGTTAATCTGTGTGTGTTTTGTCGGTTGATGTTTGATTAAATATATGGAGGTCATTAAAAAAGGGTTTTTTTCATTTCATTTCATTTTTAACAGTAATAAATTTCGTATAAAATCTTTCTGTGACCTGCACATTTGGTGCCAAAAGAGAAAATTATGTTCATCTCCGAAATCGTACCTATTTCTATCCGTATCAAATTTTATATCTCTTTAACATTCAAGCAGTGGGCTATATCTATACAGTCAATAGCATCATTACTACTCATTGTAATAGATCTTAATTCCTATGAGACATCTCATCCAAACGTCTGGCTCCATGGAAGTGTTCCCACGTATATATCTATGTATATAGCACTACTATCGGCGTGTTAAAATAAAAGTGACCTGCACCTGAAGAGATACCGCTATCTGGACCGAGCTGATCCACTAATTGTTGACGCAAAGGAATTATTATTTGTTATTATTGAACTATATTCATCGGAGATACAAATTACGCGTTTTTTTTTAGAGTTCCGCAAAACAAAAGAAAGCTGTAAGTGATCTCATGAAACACCCGCCTCGTCATTTAAAGATACTCTTGTCAGAAAGATAATAATAACGAATCAGTATATAATTTGAAATTTCCGATTAAACAGCAAGCTTTTCCTCTCTCTGTCTCTGCGTGGCATACGGTCATGAAATGTAAGAAAAATCTTCTATATATATAAAAATGGATTGCTGTTCCTTAGTCTCGCTAAAACTCGAGAACAGCTGAACGGATTTATCTTATTTTAGTCTTGAAATGTTCGTGGAGGTACAGGGAAGGTATAAAAGGTGAGAAAAATTGGAATAATTGCCGGAAAAACCCTAAAAACAGCCCTTTTCTATTTCCCATACAAACGCTTTTCTTGACATTAGATTTTACAACTAACTAATAGGTCAATCATTCTGTTTGATTGAAACAGGAAAAACCTGATTATTTATGGCCTCTAAGACGGAATAGAGTTCGCCCGGTCAGCTATACATATATTACTAATGACGAAACTAACGCGGACGAAGTCGCGGGCAAAAACTAGTAAATAAATAAAAATGCACAAATAGAAAAGAAATACTCATAAATGGGACACTAGGAACCCTACTCGTGTCTGAGTTATTATGATATTAATAAACACATCGTAAATTCTCAATAAATAAATATCGATAATGTTCAATGTAGTACATAAAAAAGATTACTGTTAATGTACATATAATATTAAGGCGATCACTATACTAGGATGCGAAAACCTGTCCAAAATAAGCGGGTGATATAGCAACTGTGAGATGCAGTAACTCAAGTATTGTTTATTTAACAAAACTTATCTCAACCCTGAACCCTAATCTGATCGGTGTTGACGAAATGCATAATTCCGTATAGTGACTGTATGATACGGAGGTCGCGGGTTCAAATACAGTATTTCTGCACTGATATCATATGCATACGATACCGTTTAATTCGGTCAAACATCCTCGCCCACCTTGTGAACTGACTTACTCGTTTAAAACTACACTTACTAATATACCTAAAATAAATGGAAAAATAATATACTTATAACATGAACGTGTTGCTCACTGATTTTTATTCTAACTATGCTGTATCTATCTATCTATTTATTTATTAACAATACTAAAATTTCTAAAACTTTAACTTAACTGCCAAGACTTTACAATGAAACCACAATCAATTTTCCTTACACTTCTTTCAGTGGCGAATTTTTAAAATAATGATGAATAATTCTATGAAAATGAGCTACCAACTAATATACAAGACAAAACTAAAAGTGTTTAAAAAAGACAATTGAATTATTAACACATTGGAAGCGAAGCGACGCGTTATTTGAAATTACATGGAAATTATACAATTGGACTTATATACAGATGTGGAAGACAGGGCTATTAAACAAAATAACAACTGGTGACGATATGAACATACTGTATATAGAAAATACCAAATATATTACACGTTATATAAGATTAAGGTCAACAAAAAGCAGACGACTTCTAAGTCAGATGAACGGACGGTCACCAGCACAGATGAAGTAGTAATATGTTTTGTAATATAAGGAAGGCCCCACAAGTGGGCGGCCGAGCGGCCTTAGAACACAGATAAACATTTTATTGTCGACACGAGGCTTTGATATGTATACAAAACATAAATATTGAGTGACGTTTAGCTTACACCGATCACATATATACACATACATACATACGTGGGTACATGATAGAACGGTTGGGAGTTTAAGAGATGATGCGTTTAAAGGAATACACTCAGGTTAATTGATAAATGATCAACCATAACTTAAATATATGTATTTGTTATGTGAGAGAAACTCTCCGCTCTGTAAGAATCAATGACAGTTACAAAAACAAGCTGTACTAATTAATAGTACGGACAGACAGCACGCATCACACGCGTTAAAGAAAACAATACGTTCTGAACATAAGTTATGCCTAAAACGAATATTAAATAAACGGTCTGCCTCATATTAAATATTCTTTTTAGTTTAACAATATAATTATAAACGATCCGCGAACCAGCTCCGTACAGAATATGAAACAAAAAAATAATCATATAAAAATGTTTTAATACATTAATTCTGTTGAGACTAATATTATTTGTAAATTTTTCCTATGCCTTGACCGTCATTAAATATATGATTTTTTTTAAACTATATTTTAATGAACGCATACTTTTCATGTTTATATTTCAATAACGTTGTGATTATCGTTGTAACTGATTGTGCTTGCCTTACAATCAATCTGTAGTGAGTCGATGAAGTTCTCTTGTAATATAGTGAACATACAAAACACGAAGGTGAGTCCGGGGCACAAGTCAGTTAGTCTGTCGTTGTTTGAGAGCGCGCGTTATTTATAAGGCGGTAGGCGATGGCCGGCGCCAGTGGAGACCATGCGGCGACCAGCGACAGAGACCTCGCTCGTGCTGCCTCCGTTCGAGATGCCCTCGGTCGTGCTGCCCTCGCTCATGCTGCCCGCGCTCGAGCTGTCCACGCTCGTGCTGCCCGCGCTAGTGCTGACCGCGCTCGTGCTGCCCGGTGAGTGCTGGATGTGATCTGTGCTGCTATATTTTGACCGAGCCATACTGTTAGTCGACCGGTTCTTTTTCTATTTCCCCACGTATCTAACTAATATGACCCGCCAAATTAGTGATAGAGGTTATCTCTCTTAGTAACGTGATAAAAAGTGTTTCTGATTCGATCGCTCGTCTCGACCGCAGACACAGGCAGTCGGCTGAACTTACGGATATGTTAACATTAGCGTGTTTTGTTTGTACCGCATTCCTACAATATTAAAGCGACCTCGACTATTAAATTTTTTTTCTAAAGCGTATTTTGATTCAATAAAGAGGGTAACAAAGTTTTTGTCGTCTTAAAAAAACAACATCAGTCTGGGTATAGTTTCAATGAGACCAAAACAAATCGAACTCCAAGTAGGGTAGCCTTAAGTCCTAGGTCCCGGAGCGAGTCTAGACAGACACAAAAAGTAGATAATATAATCAGGTTTCAGGTAAGTCTGACACACAACGTCACACCAAAAAAACGTTCTTCGATGTAGGTGCAAGCTGCACGGGTGCAGCGGCTTTATATTCATAATATTAAACAAAAACATAACATTTTATTTAAGAAGTTTAATGAAACATTACTGATAGCTATGAATACGTTAGACCTTGTTTGTTTTTTTATTTTAACACAAATCTTAATTCATTAGGTTTTGCATTCCTTATTGCAAATACACTTCTTTGGGCCTATTGTTTAGTAATTTTTTTGTCGTCGAACCAAATGACTCAAAGTGAAAATATTAGTAGACTAAATTTTGTTTTGATAACTTTACTCAAAAAACTAGTCAATTTGTTTTACTGTTTCTGTAGTTATCATAATTTTAATGGTTCTTAATTATTATCACACACTTTATTAATACTAATTGCAATTAATTATAATGCAACCATGTTATTGAGTAGCCACTAGCCAGTAGCCAACCGTTGATTTGATACGCTTACACAAACGATTTGAATTTAAAAAAATATGTTTATTTATTGGAATTATTAGTTTGATTCAGTGACTGTTGTGTTTTAAAATAACACACTTATTTTGTTCACGGCTCAATGAAAAAAAATCACAATTAACTAGTTGTATTTGTTGTTTTTAGATAATATTATTATCAACTTTAACGTAATAAAAATTAATTAAGTATTCTGTTAGTCCGCAGTGCATTTCCAAAATAAAGAATTTTAATGGAAAACATAGAAACGAACAAAAGTCTATTTTTTGTCTAATTATCCTTGATTGTCGCTTATGACTTTCCCATTTTGTTCTAAGAAAACAAGTTACTTGAATTTACTAGTAAAAAAATCCTTTCAACACAAGTCTTGATGGTTTTCATGTGATACATGTATGTTTTTTTATATATTCTATGAAAACATTTGTACCCATCGTCAACGTTAGTAACCGAAAAAATTTATTCGCAAAACAATGTTCATGACTGTTAAATGAGATGCTGTCATTACTTTGTATTCAAAGATAGGAAGAAGGAAATTAAACTTCTCTCTTCTTCTCCAGAGACTTCTCTCTCTAGAGAATTCAAAGAAATTCTTCACGCTCCGCTCATCCATACTTCTATAATAATGAGATTTAGTGAGTTATTGTTATTTACTTTATAATTATTGTTGTATTAAACTGTGAGAAGTAACTGTAAGAACCACTAGCTGACGATTATGTGTACAGTCTCTCAACCCTCACCATGTTTTGTCAGTGGAGCACGTTTTCCTCAATCCGAACCTGATCTTCAATCGATACCTCATTTCGGTAATGTCACGTTCCGCATATCTTTATAATTATTATTATGATCTGCATTAAATATTATGTTTATATCTATTCTGTTATCGTGCATACATTGTATCACCTCGACCTGTGATGAAGACTCTCTCTCTAACAACACACATTAGATATTTTTTTTGCTTATAAATCACTCGTGGGAACAGATCTTATCTACACTTCCTCGTAATATAATTGAAAATAAAGTTAAGAAAAATTATTTATAACATTTCAAAATCAACTTGTTTTTAACCAGAGGACTGTTTTCTTGTGGCTTTGCAAATTTAATTATTGACCTTTCGCGATTTAGACAGAATTAATTAATTTTTTAACTCGATATATTTTAGTGATAAGAGCTGTCTGATGACGTCACTTATTAATTGTCTTAGGTAATTTCGGTCATTGGCCTGTATGTTTATTTTTACGCCACCTTAACTAAGCAACTCGATTCAGTGTAAGTTAGCTTAAACCACTAAGTAGCGACCTCTCTGAAAGTTGAACTGCATCAGTTGTTAACGACATCCCTCTCAAATATTAATCTTTATATATAAAAGAAAGTGGCGTTAGTAGCGCTATATATAACTCAAGAATGACTGTACGGTTTGGATGAAGATTGGCGGAGAGATAGATTAGAACATAGAAAGGACGTAGGATACGTTCATCCGATTGAAAAGAAAAAAAAATAAGTGGATAAAATCCAAAATCTTCGTATCTATTGTCTTTAGGGAGGAACAGAGTTCGTCCGTTCAGCTATACGTTTCTGATTCTGAACTCAACCCAGATGAAGTCGCGGGTAAAAAGTAGTTTAATATAAAAATGGTATTTAATTAATAATTTTCTTTTTGAGTTCATGTTATCTGATGCGTGTAGCTCGCTCTGTGCTCTATTCACCTCAGATAAATATAATATCTCTTCACAAATAGTTACTATTATTATATGTCTGTCTAAGAATCTTAAAAAATATTATTTAATTTTCCATAAAAAAATAAGATAATATGAGGAAAACGCGAGCAGGTGACGTAAAATTTTATCTCAGGCTGGTTAGTAATTACAATCAAATCTATATGTTTACTATGAAGTAAAATGTAATGATTTCAGTATTAATGAAGTTAAACAGAACAATATGACTCATGATACATTATTGAAGGAGACGCCTGACATAGTTTTATTTCAAGTAACCTGTTGCCTTCCCAGACATTCTAAATACCGTTTGGTGTGCACGCTGTTTGCATTGTAATGACGTAGAGCGAGCTACGTGAACTACGGGCTACGTACTACGGTGCTACGGATTAATGGCTAATGAGTACTGGCTACTGGCTAATGGCTAATGGCTAATGGCTACTAGTGAACTGTCTTAGTTTGTATAAAATTTTTATGAAGATGTAACTCACACATAAGTTGTTCATGTTATGTCAGTCAATACGCTGCGAATTATGTAGGAATATTCCATGAAAATAATTTCGAATATGTAGTATTATTATATTCATAAGGGTAATTGTTGTTTTCAGTCTTTTGGTACTATGTTTACGTACTCGCGTAGGTACTATGTCATATGTGTGACTATATCTGCTGTATCCGGACCATCACAACAATTATATTTATATACAATAACATAGAAGAAAGCAAAACTTTTTATACATAGTCACCACTGAATTTGTATCAGTGTGAGATACCAACAACTATTTATATATGTATAAGGATGTAAGTGAGTCACTAACGAGGGTTTTATTTCAGGCCAGGCGGTACCGTTGAGTGATAGTGAGGGGTGTGCGGTACGAGCACAGCTCCCGGGGGGCTGGCTGTGTGGTCTGAGGAACGGAACGAGCCACGCAAGCTTCCTTGGGGTCCCGTACGCTAAACAACCTCTGGGACAGTTGAGGTTTAAGGTACGGACACTGATTTACATTCAAAAATACTGCCGGAGACGGTATATACAGAAAATAATAATTAAATACTTCGTTATAATTCCAGGAGCTTCAGCCTCTGGAGCCATGGGAGGGTTTGTACGACGCGACGTCCGAGGGTCCGATATGTCCCCAGACCGACATCCTCTATGGAGCTCTGAACCCTGGACAGATGGACGAGGCGTGTATATATGCGAACATCCACGTGCCTCTACACGCTCTGCCGGGGAATGAACCCGCGAACACTGAGACAGAGTTCCGCACGCCTCACGAGACAGGCTTGGATGAAGGTCAGAACAGCGGGCTACCGATCCTAGTGATGATACACGGAGGAGGATTCGCTTTCGGTTCAGGAGGATTGGGGCTCCATGGACCGGACTATCTGATGCCCAAAGACGTCATCGTGATCACTTTTAATTACAGGTATGTAATGACTACACTTACTTAAGTCAACAACACTACATTGTCACATAATGATGTTCGGATATATGTTAATGAATTCAGTGAAAGACTTTCGAGGGTTGTCATGATGACATTGTTCATATACCGAATGATAACAAGTTTATCGGTCAACAGAAATATTATGTTTAAAAAATAATTGATAGCAATGATATAAACACAATGCGTAGTTCACTATCGATGTTATGTATAGTATGGGGAGCGTCAGTCACAGGAGTATAGGAGTTTAAGAAGACATTTACTTTGACGGAACAAAATCTATATTAAAATAACAAACCCTATACAAGTATTGTAAGGGAGAAAGAGAAATTAAAAACTATTGACATAGATCGATCATGGATTGATTATTATTATCAATCGTATTATTTAAAACGTAAAATAAAACTATAAAAAACTGACGGAAAAACCGCTGACAAAAGCTAGTTTAAAATAATTGCATAACAACATATCGTTGTTTTCAACTTATATTGTATTTTTGTGCAGCGAAAGTGAATAACTCTGTATGAACTATTTGTTGCGATAACAATGACTTTAAAAACAAATATTACATAATATATTGCGTCGTTCAAGTTAATTTTATAGTAAACATAACATTACTAGGCTCCAGTTAATAAGTACTTTAGTCACAGGCTGTTACAAAACGTAGCATCCCCTTTTCCCTTCGGGACTTTATAAATAATATTATATATTTTCCAACCAGTATAATTTAAACAAATATAATTTAGAATATTTTAATAAAGAATTTTATCGATTTCAATTGACTGCTTCCTTATTAATATACATACATAGCTTTTATGGAATCAATAAAATTATATATTTTGGAAATATCAACTATAGTATCAAGGTGTTTTATTTTTAAGATGAACGAATACACAAGAAAAAATGATAAGTTAAAAAATATATCTGAAAGACAATAAGGAGATCTAAGATTATCACGAGTTTTCTTAAAAACTTTTCTAAAAAACTGTTGTTCGGATTATTACTACGCTTTCTTTTATTATTTTTAAACCTACATATACTCTCGACGCGATGTTTCGGTTACTCACATTCACATCTGCCCAAGTATGAGTATGTAGATATAAAAATAATAAAATAATTAGTAATAATCCGAAAATATTACTCTCATTAATCTGACAGGCAGTTTTATTAGACTGATCCGAGATCTCGCTCGCTTTTATAAAGATCTAATATACATACATTATTCTAACTATTCTTAATAAATACAACTCTAATTTAATTTACAGGTTAAACGTCCTCGGTTTCCTATCTCTGAACACTTCCTACGTGCCTGGAAACAATGGACTGAGAGATATGGTGACGTTGCTGCGCTGGGTCCAGGACAACGCGTACGCTTTTGGAGGTGACCCTGGGAAAGTGACGGTCGTTGGCCAGAGTGCGGGGGCTACGAGTGCTCACCTGCTGACCCTGTCTACGGCTGCACGGGATTGTTCAACAGGTCTGATATAAGATATGAGGTCATCTTCAGTTTTCGGAGTTATTTGCATATCCCTAATAATATTATAAATGCGAAAGTAACTCTGTCTGTCTGTTACGCTTTCACGCCTAAACCACTGAACTTATTTTAATGAAATTTGGTACAGAGATAGAGTTGACTTTGAGAAAGAACGCGGAAAGCTAGTATTGAATAATTATTATTCTTATCTTGACATAATATTACATGCGTGGTCTTTGAGTTGGGTATATTTATAAATATAATTTCACACATGAATATAGTATATAAATGTGTACAATTATCTTTCCAGAGCAATAATCATGAGCGGCACCGCCATCGCCAACTTCTATACTCCATCACCGGTGTACGCGCAGCTGGTGGCGAACATGTTCTTAACTAATGTCGGGATCAACTCAACGGACCCAGAACAAGTTCACCAGCAACTGGTGGACCTACCGATCGAGAGGATCATGGAGGCCAACAAACAGATACAGAACTACTTCGGTCTCACGGTGTTCACACCAGTCGTGGAGTCAGTCTTCCCGGGAGTCACCGCCGTGGTAGAACACGACCCGGAAGTTCTCATGTCTAAAGGTTGTGGCAACCATATACCGTTAATAATAGGCTTCACGAGCTCCGAGTGCGAACTTTTCAGGCGGAGCTTTCAAAATATTAATATACTGGGACGCATAAAGGACAATCCTTTCATATTGGTGCCGATAAAACTACTGTACGGCCTGCCGCCGCAGAACGCGTCCCAGGCTCTGAAGAAGATACGGGAACGATACTTCATCGGGGAACCGACCATGGATGAATACGTCAGGTACGCTTCGGATGTCTATCACATTCAGCCTGCGATCAAAGTGGCGAGCACGAGGAGGATGCTGGGAGGAGCGCCCGCATATTTATACGAGTTCTCGTACCATCCAGACTTTAGTGTAACAGGACAAGTTACCGGGTTAAATTACAAGGGAGCCGAGCATATTGACGATTTAACTTTCCTGTTTCGAGCGAAGGCTTTCGAAGGATCGAACGGTTTCTCACCGCTGTCACAGAGTGACCAGTCCATGGTTCACAGGATGACCACTATAGTTAAAAACTTCATGGAGGACCGGTGAGTTTATGGAATATTAGTTTGAGTTAGGACCGATGTTGCTGAATTATATTCTATGAAGCTTTCTTTATTAACATTCGTTTTCCCACTCCAGTGATCCATGGCATCCAGTGTCCAACAGCCCCGAGCTCGAGTGCCAGGTCATCGACCGACCAGAGGTCTATCAATCCAGAGGACTGACCAAACAACTGAAGGAAATGGTGGAATTCTTTGATAGTTTGTAGATACAAACCAGTTTAAGGTGACCCTTCTGTGTTTGTGTGTTATTTGTGTTTGTGTGATTATTTATTGAAACACTCTAGTATAAGTGTGATCCGTCCACAGCACACTGTCTTTATTTTTTGTTTTTAATTAATAATCTTTATCATTCGAATAAAATGTTTGTTATATTAAGTATGCATAATGTTGCCTCGAGGTCAGGGTCCATCCTAGTCGGTAGATGGCTTCAATATAATATTTTCTTCTAATGTTTATTTAACCGGTCAGACCGAGCAGGGCTAGAGGGCATGCTGCCAGACTCCTACCAAATGATGTATTTGACTTTATGTACATTTTCTTAAATAGGTTTTTATTGATATACAGAATATATATTATGTGGACGTGTTTAAAAATGTATTACTAAATTTAGGAAATTTTTCTGTTTGTCAGATGTGTGTGAGTTTGTATGTGTTTTCTGTGTGTGCTAGTTATATGTGTGGTTTTAATAATAAGTTTCACAAGTCGTAATTTTACTATTATGTACTTATTTTTTTAATTAAACTGATGAACAAATGTTTATATTTATTTCTGATCCATTATAAATATCTAATAACATCAACAATTTTATAACATCGGCCACTTTTTTCTAGGTGTGCTTCAAAAATTATCAACTTTATCAAAAATTTTTGCAATTGTCACATTGCAGAGTTTTCACTGAACATTGTATTTTACTATGGCATTAGAACATCTATATCAACATTAGAACATCAGACTGTAACTAAAAAAGATATCTAGGTAGTTATTTGAGAAAACTTATATATTAGTTAATATAAACGCCGTCAGAATTTTCGTGTCAATTAATATTTCAGTGGAGATTGCTATTATTTTTCCAAGTGTCGTTCTTGAAGTCAACAGATATCATGAATTACACCAAATCGAATATTAATAAAACATTTTTATAGTTAACTAATATTCTTTCTCAAGGTCAACTTCATCTCTGTACCAAATTTCATTTAAATCAGTTCAGTGGTGTAGGCGTGAAAGCGTAACAGACAGACAGACAGACAGAGTTACTTTCGCATTTATAATATTAGCAGGGATATCCTCGTTTCATCATCACACACAGTCTCCATTCACCAGTCACAGCATCCAGTTATTGTTTCGTTATCAATTTATCATATATTTCAATTTCCATTCCATTGTCAGCCCCGTATTGTTGTCACGGTAAAAGTGCATGGTTGAAACTCCGCGGAAATGTAAGGATGTGATCCGTGGCTGGCTGTCACGACATGAGGTGATGTAAATGTGGATACGACCGACGTGGTTATATGACAAAGAAATACAGAACAGAAGATAATTGAAATAATACAAATGATTGGACATTTTTGTTTGACTACATTGATATTATAATCTTCTATATATATAAAAATGGATTGCTGTTCCTTAGTCTCGCTAAAATTCGAGAACGGCTGGACCGATTTGGTTAATTTTAGTCTTGAAATACTCCTGGAAGTCCAGGGAAAGTTTAAAAGGTGAGAAAAATTGGAATAATTGCCGGAAAAACCCTAAAAACAGCCCTTTTCTATTTCCCATACAAACTTTTTTTTGACATTAGATTTGACAACTAACTAATATGTCAATCATTCTGTTTGATTGAAACAGGAAAAACCTGATTATTTGTGGCCTCTAAGACGGAATAGAGTTCGCCTGGTCAGCTTTACCTACATATATTACTCTTGACCAAACTAACGCGGACGAAGTCGCGGGCAAAAACTAGTTAATAATAAAAATATACCGTAGGTACCGTTTGAGATATAGGCAAAATATAAGAGAACCGTAGTAACTGGATATCAATAATAATCATTCTAGGTCTTATTAGCACCTCAATATCATGCTGTTACTTGTATTGCTCGTTGTTTTCACAACGATTGATAAGTCGGAACAAAACGTAGTGAGCATAGCGCAGGGACGAATACGGGGCGTTCAGAAACGAGGATACATTACATACGGCGGGATTCCGTACACTACGGTTAGCGGCATGGCAGGGAGATTCAAGGTAAACGTGGATATTACAAAGAAATTAATAAAGTTATGTAAGAAAAAATTATAAATAATTATTGATAATTTGGTCGTTTGAGTAAGTATTAAAAAGTGCATAGGAATTTTCTTTTAAATGCATCTAAATTTTGTAAAAATTTGTCTCATATTTTTGTTTAGAGTGGCGGTCTAGCGCCTGTGTGGTCCAACATTAGGGAATCTCAGATGAGTGATTGTACAAGCACATCACCAGTTGAAGACTGTTTACAACTAGATGTCAACGTGCCCCCCGGAACACGTCTGCCTGTCATGGTGTGGGTGACTGGTGGTAGTGGACACTATGACCCCACCATGCTTGTCGAACAACAAATTTTAGTAGTCATAGTGCGACACAGGTGCTTCTAATACACTATTAATAAAAGCGAAAGAATTCCTTTGAGTTTTTTTAACATATATTTTTCTGTAGGTTGGGCCCGACGGGTTTTTTATGTTCGAGGGAAGATAAAATAGCAGGTAACGCTGGTCTCAAGGACGTTGTGTTGGCCTTACGATGGGTGAGAGATAACATCGTAGCTTTTAATGGGAACCCGAACATGGTGGTGGTCGCTGGCCAGAGCTTTGGAGCCGCTATGGTGCAATCATTGATGTTGTCAAATATGGCCAGGGGTTTGTTTCATGGAGCTATAATACAAAGCGGAAGCGTTTTAGCTCCCTGGGCTTTTAACTTTGACGCCGAGCAACGGGCGAAGTTCTTGAAGATGAAATTTAACGAAAGTCGAGATTCCTTTACATTGGTCAAAGCTGGTACAGTGGACCTTGATAGGAACGCAGAAGAGCTCGACTTCCCATATCTACCCTTCGGTATATGTGTAGAAAACCCCATGAAAAACGAGGAAAAGTTTTTATCTGATTCTCCTTTCGACTTACTTTCTAATGGCAAAATAATACCAGTACCAATTATAATGGGATACACCAACAACGAGGCATATATATTCTCTTCGCTGTTGAAAGAAGTCAGGGTATTGAAGAAGATGTCAGAGGAGATGAACTTTTTAATACCAATAGAACTGCAGACAAGTAAACGGGATGTCCTTCAGTTAGCGAAAAAAGTAAAAGAAATGTACTTCCCAGGAAATATAACTATGAAATCAGTTCTAACATACCATAGGTACAGATTATCTACTCTCATATGACCACCGCTTTATAATTGAATGAAAAGTTTTATATAAATATTATTTCAGGGATGCTTACTTCTTGAGTCACATCTATAAAAGCCTTCGCTTTCATTCGGCGTCGTCAAGTCCTGTGTACTTTTACCAGTTCTCTCACAGCGGCCTTGTTGGGGTGGAAGAAGAGCCTGACGTTATAAAGGATGGAGCAGCGCACTCTGATGAACTGGCGTACTTGTTCCCGGACAAGGGACGCAAATTAGATGGTGACGATGGAGACGCTCAGAGAAATCTTGTTAAACTTTGGACTAATTTTGTTAAATTTTTGTAAGTTTATATATCTCTGTACTATTATTACTATTATTCTTATTATTATAAAACTAGTTCGCTTAATGATCAATTATTTCAATTCTCTCGTTGTGAATGCCAGAAACCCCACTCCCCAAGGTGAACTGGGCCAGGGATTGGTCTGGGAGCCGTACAGTCCCTACGACAACCGAATGTTAAGCATCAGCTCCGAGCTGGAGATGATCGAATTCCCCTTCAATAAGGAGATGCAGATGTGGGAAGACGTTTATGAGAAGTACCATCACGAGCGACGACGGAAATTGGTCGTTTAATACATATATATGTACATATTACTAATAATATCATGAATATATGTATATATACAACAGTTTATAACTTAATTGCATCTTTGTGCTCGTTTTCGTTATTAATGTTTTAAATAATATACTATTTTACTTACTTAATAAACACTACCTACCTTTAATATACTTTTTTCTTGATTTTGCCAACAATTAGGTAGATTGATTAAAATTACCTGAAACAAAAAGTTATTTTATTATTTTTTCTATATTGAACTGAATGCTGTAATATTCAAAATGAACTACGTCATGTTTTCCTTAGAAAGATGTTATGTTTAGGTATTTATCTTTTTTCATTAAAAATATTGCCATCTAGTTCTCAAATCCCTTTCTGTTTCGTAAGTGTGAGTGTGGGCCCGTTATGTGGGATGGAGTCATAATCAGGATCTTCCGAAAGGGGACATAATGGTCTTGAATTTAAACCGCTTCAAGAAAACCAAACAAACAAGACGCATTAAAAACCAGTTCCAACAATCAGAAGGCATGATATCCGTAATTTGTTGAATTCTATTTGCTACGAATGTTTTCCAACGACCGGGATCACCATTTATCCACCCTAAAACGGCTGTTGAGTCGATCCATCCGTATACTTTTATTTCATAATTTTTCATATGATTGCTTAACTTGCGACATTAGATTAGCTAACAACAGTGCTCCACATAGCTCCGAACGAGGCATTGATAATGTTTTGCTGGATGGTAGTAACCTTGCTTTTCCCGCCACAACGGTGACTGTATTTTGATTTTTTATTTTACAGTATATCACACAAGCGTACGATTTACTTGATGAGTCACAAAATCCATGTAACTCGATGCTACAACCGGGCTTAGTTTGTAGCCATCGTGGTACTGTAAACTTGCTAATGTTCGGAATGTCTTCCTTTATTTTAAACCCATTCTTTGTGAATATTTTCGGGAATTTCTTCATCCCAATTAATTTTTTGATAACCAAATGGTTTGGAATAATATTTTTAATTGCGTAGTAATAGGCGTGAGCCATCCTAATGGATCGAAAAATTTTGAAATGTCCGATAAAACTAATCTTTTCGTGACTCTTTTGTTAGTTGAACTTAATTTTGATGTAAATGTAAAAGTATCCTGTGTTGGATTCCACTGTAATCCTAGTGTTTTTCTAGATTCTGGTTGCTTAAAATGAAGAGTGTTTTTGTTGATTTTGATCATTAATTTGCCCTTGTAACAAATTAGGATTATTTGATACCCATTTTCGTAAATTGAATCCACCAGACTTTAATAAATTAATTAAGTCCCCTTTGTAGTTCCTTTGCTGATGATAAAGTATGTGCTCCATGCAACAGATCATCCATATAGAATGACTGTTCAAGGATTTTTGCTGCTTCTTCATAATTATCTCGTTCATCGTTCGCTAACTGTCGTAGTGTCATCATAGCGAGAAAAGGAGCGGCTTTTAAGCCGTATGTAACTGTAGTTAATTGATACTCCTGCAACTAGAAGCCTTTGTTGCGTCATTTTGTTGTTTGTTAGTCAATGGCCTACTTTGGGCAACGGTGTAAAATTTCGTACCGTCATGCAATAACGAATTATGTTTTCCATTACAAATTAGGCAACGTTTGAAAGAATTGCATTGTTTTCCATTATGCTTATATAAACAATTAGTGCATAGATCCAATTCTTTTGCCCTTTTGAACCTCAATTCAACAGGCATTGCTAAAAACTTTTCGCAATTAAAAATTCCATGTCCGTTGTTATTGCAAAATTGACATTTGATACCTGCTACATGTAATGATTTTACAAATGATTTATAATTACGGTTTGAATTATTACCGTATGAATTATAAAAATCAGATTTATTTTTCAATGCTGATGCACGATAATTGCTGTTGATGTTTTGATGAAACTTCGGCGAATTGTTTTCGGGTTTCTTTCGAGATGATTCGAGAGTTGTAAACTTACTCTCTAAAAATGTTAAAAAATCTTGTAGTTTTGGAAGTTCTCTTGGTTCTTTTAATGATTCCAAGTAATCCGAGTGCGTCTCTTGATCTAATTTTTGTGATAAAATATGAACTAATAATGGATCCCATGTGCTTACATCTATCCCAAGGTTTTTGATTGCATTTATACTCTCTAAAGTAGTATCGTGTAGGCGTTTTATTTGATTAATTGATATTTGTTGCATTACGGGAATATTTAAAAGAATATTCACGTGGGATGAAAAAATAAGTTTTTTATTGTTATATCTATGATTTAGAATATCCCAACAGGTGGTATAGTTTTCTGAACTAATCGAAAGGTGTTGAATTAATCGTTCTGCCTCTCCACGAACTTTACTTTTTAAAAATTGCATTTTCTGCGCGTTAGATATGCATGAATTACTATGAATGACTTCTGTAAACAAATCTTTAAAGGATGTCCATTGATGATATGTACCACTAAAAATTGGAATCTCCATTTGCGGAGTCAGTTTCTCTTTGTGTGCCGTAGACCATATTTTGCTATTAATTGACTTTTTTCATGTCACTATAAATCTGTTCGTAGTTTGTAAATCTTTCTTCGTATGCTTCATTTGAACCTTCCAACTCACTATCTAGCTCCCAATGTAATGAATCTATTACTGCCCACCTACTTTGTATAGTGTTGAGCAAATCTTCGTACTCCCATTTTTCCTTTAAAGAATCTACATTTATGTTCCTTATTGTACGCTGGAATGCTCTAAAATTACTGTATTGCTTTTTTTTAACAAGTCGTCCGTTTTGCTATTAACACCCTGATGTTTTTGAGGTGTCGAATAATATTCAACCGACGTACCAGGCCTTTCTGATATACCCTTATAGTTAATAATCATTTGCTTAGTATTTTTATAGAGATTTTCAGTTTTATCATAATGAAATTCAGTGAAATAATGATCACTCCTATCTCCCTTTTCGATTAATATTAAATGATTGTTTTGGTATTGAACCCAATATGAATCAAGGCTTTCGATTCTTCTTTTAATGTACTCATCTGTTTTACGCTCTGCGCTATCTTTTTTGAAATTAGACGCAAGTTTTTGAATGGATATTTGTATCTCATTCTGCTTTGCTATGATATCCTCCATGTTGAGGAAAAATTAAAATGAAATTGAAATAAAAGGAAAGATCTCACTTGTTGTGACCGATGCTATCCTCGATGCTGCGCTGAACACTGTGTTCGATGACGCTATGCTCACTGCTGTGCTGGCTGCTATGCCCGAACCCCGATGACAGTATATTTACTGCTGTTCTGGATGCTGTGATTGATGATTGTATGCTCGCTGCTATGCTTGATGCTGTGCTGAATAACTCTCAGCTCTGATAATATGCTTGCTGCTATGCTTGATGCTGTGCTGAATAACTCTCAGCTCTGATAATATGCTTGCTGCTATGCTTGATGCTGTGCTGAATAACTCTCAGCTCTGATAATATGCTTGCTGCTATGCTTGATGCTGTGCTGAATAACTCTCAGCTCTGATAATATGCTTGCTGCTATGCTTGATGCTGTGCTGAATAACTCTCAGCTCTGATAATATGCTTGCTGCTATGCTTGATGCTGTGCTGAATAACTCTCAGCTCTGATAATATGCTTGCTGCTATGCTTGATGCTGTGCTGAATAACTCTCAGCTCTGATAATATGCTTGCTGCTATGCTTGATGCTGTGCTGAATAACTCTCAGCTCTGATAATATGCTTGCTGCTATGCTTGATGCTGTGCTGAATAACTCTCAGCTCTGATAATATGCTTGCTGCTATGCTTGATGCTGTGCTGAATAACTCTCAGCTCTGATAATATGCTTGCTGCTATGCTTGATGCTGTGCTGAATAACTCTCAGCTCTGATAATATGCTTGCTGCTATGCTTGATGCTGTGCTGAATAACTCTCAGCTCTGATAATATGCTTGCTGCTATGCTTGATGCTGTGCTGAATAACTCTCAGCTCTGATAATATGCTTGCTGCTATGCTTGATGCTGTGCTGAATAACTCTCAGCTCTGATAATATGCTTGCTGCTATGCTTTGATGCTGTGCTGAATAACTCTCAGCTCTGATAATATGCTTGCTGCTATGCTTGATGCTGTGCTGAATAACTCTCAGCTCTGATAATATGCTTGCTGCTATGCTTGATGCTGTGCTGAATAACTCTCAGCTCTGATAATATGCTTGCTGCTATGCTTGATGCTGTGCTGAATAACTCTCAGCTCTGATAATATGCTTGCTGCTATGCTTGATGCTGTGCTGAATAACTCTCAGCTCTGATAATATGCTTGCTGCTATGCTTGATGCTGTGCTGAATAACTCTCAGCTCTGATAATATGCTTGCTGCTATGCTTGATGCTGTGCTGAATAACTCTCAGCTCTGATAATATGCTTGCTGCTATGCTTGATGCTGTGCTGAATAACTCTCAGCTCTGATAATATGCTTGCTGCTATGCTTGATGCTGTGCTGAATAACTCTCAGCTCTGATAATATGCTTGCTGCTATGCTTGATGCTGTGCTGAATAACTCTCAGCTCTGATAATATGCTTGCTGCTATGCTTGATGCTGTGCTGAATAACTCTCAGCTCTGATAATATGCTTGCTGCTATGCTTGATGCTGAATAACTCTCAGCTCTGATAATATGCTTGCTGCTATGCTTGATGCTGTGCTGAATAACTCTCAGCTCTGATAATATGCTTGCTGTTATGCTTGATGCTGTGCTGAATAACTCTCAGCTCTGATAATATGCTTGCTGTTATGCTGTTTACTATACTGGCTCCTTATGATGTTATGATATTATGCTCGATGTAAAACTGCTATGCTTGATGCTGAATGATTGTCACATAAAAGTGGATATAAATCGCCTGACGGTCACTGTTCCACACGTTAAAGTCAATCGCCGTGCGACACGTGGCCTTAGTCTCGCACTTTGACCAACCCGTGCGTATGGTCAATGTACTCGGAGGATGAATAATCCGCGAGTGAAGTTGCTCGAAGGACCAAAACGATGTATGGGTTTGATACCACACACCATTTAGATATGATAGCTTTATGGAGACCAGCAAGTTTGTGAGTATCGCGTTTAGGTAATGAGAACGACCTGTTTATTTGAACATACAAACAGTTTATAACTTAATTGCATCTTTGTGCTCGTTTTTGTTATTAATGTATTAAATATATACTATTTCATTTCCTTAATAAACACTACCTACCTTTAATATACTTTTTTCTTGATTTTGCCAACAATTAGGTAGATTGATTAAAATTACCTGAAACAAAATGTTATTTTATTATTTTTTCTATATTGAACTGAATGCTGTTATATTCAAAATCTAGAAAAAACCAAACAAGACGCACTGATGATGTCCGTACGTTTAAGGATTTCAGTTCACTAGTCAAGTTGTCAAACATCGTACATCACAAAAAGACAAAAGCCAAAAAGTACATGTTCAAAGGCTGTGCATGTTTTGAAAGGTCGAGTGGTTAGATAACAAGATAACGACGCTTATTGAGGATTTTGGTTGGTTTAGTACAGACGACGAGAAAATTATACTGAAATGTTACAGTATTATATTATTATATTGAATTACAGCCAGTATGTAAGGATATCATAACACGTAGCTTTATGTAATGTACCTGTTTATTTTCAAAGCTAGTAAAATATTGAGATGAAAGGAGCTGCTGGAATATTTGCAAAGTTAGTTATAGTTCACAACTAAATATTATTATAATTATAAGACTAAACAAAAACTGTGATATCGACTTTTTTACTCTTATTATTTATTTCTCGCTAGGTTTTTTGACGTTTTATAAAATATGGGTCATGTAATAAAAGGACAAAGTAATCAAATTGTTAACGCAGACGCATTAAAAGCTTTTAAAAGCTCACATTGAACCGAAATGCATTAAACCTAGTTATAGTGGCAAATAAGCTGGTAACTCTTCAATTACGAGCACTCAGCGATGTTTCAGACAAAAACAGATGTAGCAGCCGCTACCAATTACTCTGCAGTATACGGTTAATTTGATTTTAAAAATAATTTTAGCCATAAACGTTTAGTTATTTACTGTAGGATATATTTAACAATTTCTACATATATAACATTTATTACTTCGTGTTATACTGAATGCAAAACAATTGTAAGGAAGAGAGACTGAGTAATATTTTTTAGTAATGTTGCCTTTTAACTCCTCTGTACACGACTGTACACTAGATACACGGTGAAGTCCCTATCAGAGCTTTATTATCGAGTGTTTCACTTTACATATTAAAGCAGTTTCAGTTACATTTTTGGGAACGACACGGCGATGGCGTTGGTCGTATCTGGACAACTAAAATATAAGACTATGATATTGGTGTTCATTTGTGTCTACTTTGTTTCACAAGCGGTCGGCGAGTTATCCATCATAGATAACGTGGTCACTATACAAGATTTAGACGACGATAATAAACACAACAAGGGTAGTTATCAATCAGGTATACAAGTTGAAACTGAACAGGGTCTGGTGCGAGGCTACCAGGACGAAGCGGGCATCGTGACTTTTTTTGACATACCCTATGGAGAATTTAGTAAAGAACAACCATTTCAGGTTCGAAACAACTTTAAAAAAATTCAACTCCTGCTCATACATAAGAGTTTCTATCTACCTTGAGAACTGTTAATATGTGTCTTATATATAATTTATTTCCCAGGAACCAACACCTTCGAAACCTTGGGAAGCTGTGCATGACAAAACATCACACTCAACCCGCTGTCCTCAAATACGGAGCGGAACCTTCGAAGGTACTCATGAATGTCTGACTCTGACAGTAATGAAGCCAAAGGATGCTGCTGGCGCTGATGTCCTATTTCATATCCACGACAGTTCCTTCACGTCTGGAAGCGGCGACCCTCTCGTTTATAATCCAAAACATATAGTTCCGAAAGGAGTTATCTTGGTTTTACCGAATTACAGACTTGGACCTCTAGGGTTTCTGTGTTTGCAAAATAATACGGCACCTGGAAATGCTGGGCTGAAGAGATCTGACGCTGGCGTTAAATTGGACGAAAAACAATATAGAGTCGTTTGGAGGAAATTCCACTAATATAGTGGTGAGCGGCGCCGGAGCTGCTGGAGCGTTGGTTGAGTATCTGCTTCTGAACAACAATTCTAATATATATATTTCTAAAGCGATCACTGAAAGCGGATCTGTGCTTTCTCCTTGGGCTATAGACAGATATCCATTGGATACTGCGAATCAATTTTTTTCAAAACTTAACGGGACACGAGACTATAGAGGACCCTCAGTATGTATTGCAAAACGTGGATATAGAAGTTCTGACGAGAGCTGGTGAAGGGATAGACTTTAAGCCATGCGTTGAATCGGGAGATGGCTTCATGACTCAATCACCATGGGTTTCATTACAGAATGCAAAGTTTAAGTTTTCATATATGACAGGATCAGCGAACCAAGCTGCGATGGGGGAAGTTTTGGAACTTACAACACATAAGTTATCACAGATCAATCAAAATTTATCTAAACTGATACCAAAAGATCTCTTTTTCGACAATGACAAAGAGAAATCTCGTCTAGCATTAAAAGTGAAAACTATGTACTTCGGTGACAATGACATCTCTGAAAATAATAGAGACAAACTTTCACTGTGCTACTCGGATAGCCAATATCTTAATAGTGCAATAAGAACCGCCAGGCTGTTAGCTAAGGGAGGGTCTCATGTATATTTTTATGAATTCTCTTTGGATAACAACTCATCGCCTATAAACGGTTCAGCGCGGGGAGACTCCATGAATTTAATATTCGGAACAGAAGAAACCACTAGCTATAATGACGAACAAACAAACAAAAATGTAATGAGAGAGATGATGATAAATATATGGATCAGTTTCATAAAGTACGGGTTAGTAATACGGGTTATATTCAATATTTAAATCAATGTCACTAGAGATGTGTTCTGAATATTTATATAATGTTTAATGTTAATTAACTCATTTAAGAAACTATTGACGACTTATTGTCTATCAGTGTCATAGTATCTAGACTTCATACTTTATTAAAATAAATTTAAATTACCTAAAATTTAAAAATAGATCGATACTTAGTACACATGATAATACTTTCACAACATGCATACACTTAGATTTTTTAATTCAAACTTAAGGAAGGCGTTAGAATAAATAGTGTTATATTTTGGCAGGAATCCTTCCGCTGAAAATATTACATGGAAGAACTTGAAATATGGGGACCAGAAAAGCGAAGAGTGGCTCTCGATTGGCTCGGCGGTGGAGATGAGGAAGGGTCTCCATGTGGAACGACTGAAGCTATGGGACGACTTATATAACTCATACTACATTGAAAGGAACAAGGGCTTAGGACACAAACCTGTCGGTTTCTTAACGATCGTTTCTTGGTCAGTGCTGGCTTTCCTTAAGCTGTAGAACGAAAGATATGTGACAAAACCAAAAACCAGAATGTATTAATTGAACACCACTCTCAATAATATCGATATGTATCAGAGTTAATAAATGACGTGTATAAGTTAATGGAGTTTTTATTGGACGCACGGCACATGATGTTGTTGTACGATGTCGTTATATGTACGAGCACGATCCATGTTTACGTTTGTCTGTTATTGTTTATATAACTTGTAATATATGTTAGGAACACGTGAACACAAACACACACTCACTGACGAACACGGATCTTATAACTCAGATATACATTGGCCATGGTGGAGTACCGGGCGGTCGCGGCGGTACTGGTTGTGTCCCACCTGTTGGAGCGCGAGGTGACCGCACGCGCGCCCCCTGGCCCTCTGTCTCCGCACCGCGTCGTGGTCACTACACAGGGCTCCGTGCGGGGGTACTTCGCCCCCCACCCTCCACACTACTCATACCTCGGCCTGCCCTACGCCCGCCCTCCCACGCGTTACGACAGGTTTAAGGTCAGCTTTATTTGCTAATACGAATCTAATTTGCGGGCTAGTCAGATTGTTATCAAACGGACACATGAATACACATAATTGATGCTCGCACGTTCGGATCTAATTTGATTACTTCATTAACGAAATTATTTTATATGTACTGCATTCATTTTATTCTCATGTTATTGTAAGTGGGTGTTATAAATTTATAACTTTTGAAAAAAGGAAATACCTGTTAGAGTTAGCTCAAGAACGACAATTAAGTAATTCGAGATGGAACAGACCACAACAAAACTTGTACTTATGTATAATGAATAGAATTATGATTAAAAAAAAGTATGATATATTTAATATTTATCTACAACATCTGTATATTTATCATAATACCTAAGAGATAATGTTCAAGAAGTCATTGTGATCTATTAAAATGTGAGACGCGTGTTGTAATACTTGTATCAATTGTTATTGGGAAAATCCAAATAATAATATTGATGATCTAGCACGGTTGCTGAGCTCATACATCTTGAAACCTATTTCTTTAACATAACGTGTACGTTTTACGAATCGTTGATTTTTATACTAGTTTTTAGCTAAAGACGTTCTTAAAAAAATTTCAAACTAGATTCTCATAGTATGGTGTTCTAAAATTTATCCGAAGAATCTACGCAGTGTGGAATTGACATTTATTGATGTTATTAAACTTAACTTTAACTGTCAGACGGCTGTCACTGTCACTGTCAGTGTCAGTGGCCACTTTGACAGCAGACCAATATAGAATATAACAAGTGTTCCTTATATAATCAAGTCTATGTCCTTCTTTGTACTTATTATGTATTACTTCTGTTTGTTATTATTAGCTTGCAATCTCGAATAGAGTATTCCAATGAAATATCAAGTGAAATATGGTCATAACAAAAATATAATAAACCAATAAATACCTAATTACACAAAACAAATCAACAGATATTGTATACAACAAACTAAGATTTAGAGCGTAATTCGTAAAGAAAGATTTGACTTTTCCATATAAACTTTTTTCGTTCGGTACCAAAATGCATATTAAAGGAGTCCTGTGCCCCTCCCCCCAGGCTCCCGAGCCTCCTCCACAGTGGAGCGGCATCTTCGAGGCCATCCACCGTATCAAATGCCCTCAACCAGACGGCTCTGGTGATGAGAACTGTCTGGTGGTGAATGTGTTCACACCTGAACACGCGGAGACAGCTCCCGTCATAGTTCACATACACGACGGAGGTTTCCAGAGCGGGTAACACATAGCTTTTAGATTACAACACTTCTTTAGACTGATTGACAATAAAAAAAATAATTCAACACATTCCTGTACGAAAAACGATTTGAAATAGTGTAACTATATCTTCATATCATTGAACTGTTTTAGTAAAAAGGTGGACATTCAACGCAAAATTATACAAGTCCATATTAATTTTGATTCTCGCTGTGACCATTCCTAAGATGAATTACACAATATTTACTAAGTGTTCTGTCACTCCGTTGTTAATTAATTGCTGTGGTTCTATATACACTCTCGCTTCCGAAAGAAATAAAATCATCGAGGAAATATAATAACATGAAACTTATCATCACCTTTTAATATCGGGTTCTCACAAGTCAACCGTTGTAACTCATATTCAGAAACTTTTTTACCGGACCGGATAAAAAATCTACGCATATTAGATTTCACAGTTGACGTGGGTTATGAGGTTGATGGGTTGTTAACAGAACATTGAACCTGCCTTTTGTTTTTTATGAATGATTATTAATAGCACTAATAACATGTCTTAAGTATATCAAAGTTATCGTTACTTTCAGATGGGGCACGTTTACCGCTCCGACGAGGTTTTTAGAACAGGGTTTTGTTTTATTTCACTAAATTATCGTCTAGGAGCGCTCGGGTTCCTAAGTCTTGGATTAGAAGACGTGCCTGGAAACGCGGGAATAAAGACCAAGTGGCGGCTCTCTACTGGATCATAGAAACGTGGAAAAGTTCGGAGGCGACTCTTCCGACATCACGGTGTACGGAACTGGTTCAGGAGCCGTCTCCATTGAAATTCTTCTAATGTCTGGTTTAACCGAAAACCTTTTCCAAAAAGCTATACTAGAATCAGGATCTATTTTATCGCCGTCTTCACTAACGCGTGACCCTGTCTTACTCGCTTTTGATTGTGCCAAATCTGCAGGATACAAAGGCGATTCTAATCCGCAGTCTTTACGAGAATATTACTATGACGTTCCGGTTAGGGTTCTAACTAATACTTCTAGAATATTCCGACCATGTATAGAGAGGGTTGTGTCAGAATATCATAACTTACTGGATAGAGATCCGAGGGATGTCCTGAGAGAAGGTAAATATCAACATGTCCCATTGATGATAGTTTACACACAGGCCGAAGAAGTTGACATTATATTAAATGATCATGAGACGTTTCAGTCAATTGTAGACAATATAGAAGACTTACTTCCCGCCAATTTAATATTCGACAGCAGCGATGTTAAATATAAAATAATAAAGTTGATAAAGAAGTTTTATTTTGATGACATAGACACAGCCGGCAGCATCACTCACAGCCTGACTGATTATATTAATGATGTGTTTATGGAATATCCCATCGCGAAATCTGTTACTTATTATGCAAACAGAAACACATATCCTGTATATCTGATGAAGTTTGGTGATCATCACACAAGACTCCAGAATGACAGAAATGCTGGTACCAATAAATACAATAAGATCTGTAGGTACATTACTTCTGATAAATCAGAGGACTCTGAAGACCTTCAAGCAAAGAAGTTGGTCATGTTGTGGACTAATTTCATCAATTTTGGGTAAGTGTGTATGTATGTGTTGTTACATACTATCCTGTGTATAAAGAAACAAAGCTATTGTATATGAACTAATACTTTAAAATATTACTGACTTATAAAAACAGTACTGAAAATACATATTTTAAAATCAATACAAGTATGTTCTTTATTACTTGAAACGTTAAAACATATTTTTATGCAATGAATATTAAATAGTAGTAGAGAGCTTATTCTCACACAAAGACTATTAGAAAGTGAATGGTCCTAGCATTGTGTAAGCGACCAGTTTCATTCACTGAATATAGGACAGTGCATGTAACTATCTTACTTTGGGGCAACATATTAGTGATAGAAATTTTTTTAATACAATTAAATGCCCTTTTTCATGCACTTGATAGAAATATGCTCTATTATCTAAATAATCTTCTACATGAAGTTACATTTTTGTTTGTTTATTTTTGCTTATGTTACAGGGATCCGACACCATTAACATCACCACTACTGCCAGTCATCTGGCAGCCAGTCCAAGTAAATGAGATCCATGGACAGATCGCTGTACAGAAAATTCCCTGCCTTCAGTTTGATGAAAGCTTCACTAATATTTTATTATCAGGAAAGCATTTAAAGTTCTGGGACAGTATTTATGATAAGTTCTACAAAACAAATATTGAAAAATTAAATTAAGTTACTACTTAAAATTATTTTTAACTTTACATTGTCATGAAAAATGTTATTACAATAAGTTAAGTGGGAAAGGGTTATAAAAAGAATATTATATTTCTAAGAATTAATATTAAATATTAAATACAATATTTGTAACTTAACCACTTTAAAGAACTTGTTATTAATATATGTACCTGACATTTTAAGTTTCTGTAAGCACTTGAAAACTTATATGACAATAAGGTGCGAAAATTGCGTTCTATAGAAATATATATATTGTTTAATACCTTCGATGACAAAAACAATTGCAACGTGTCGGTATAAAGCACATTCTGACAATTTAATGAATTAAATTAATGTTATTATAGCGAATTTCAACATAATTTCATGCAGTATCATAATGACTTAAAGATTTAATAAATTGGTGGCAAGAAAACATGTAATCGTCGTCAAAGATTTACCGTTACCTGATCAATCACGTCCAAATACGTAGAGTAGAAGACGAACTCGGAACACACTCACAACACTACAGCATATTTATCTAGCTAATATTAAAAACAGTTACACTTATTTAATATAATATTTAAGTAATAAAAATCAACAAGTTTTATACAAAAGACAAAACATGAACCACCCGTCACATTTCACTTCACTGACAACTCAAGACATGACGTGAGAATACGTTACGTTCTGTAACAAGCAGAATCATAGGAAATTGTTTGTAGGAAAATAAGACTATGAAACTTATAATTTGTTTTTAGTCAAAATTTTTGAAAAAATATTCAAAATGCAAAATAATATGAAGAAAATACAACTTAGGGTAAGCTGAATTACATAACTATTATACTTTCAAAATCCTCAATAAAAATTAGTAATTTAATATTGTTATTTTTAATAAATGTTTATTTATGATTAAGTATATCAAGTATATCATCTTTTATACTTTCCTCTTCTTAAAAAGATTAAGAAAACCTTATTATTTAAAGTTAAACCTAGCTTGATATCATAAATAGCGTTCGAAGTTCAATTATATTTTCAGTGAATATCGGAAATTCATCTAATATTCTGTGAATGATTTTCGATACTTTAGATGTTCATTCATGTTATTTAATGTCAATAAGGATATTTTACTTTATCTATATACAAATGTGTTAATTGTTTTATCTTAATATTTTTTTAACTTTTCAGTAAGTATACTAAACTAGATGTAAGTCAGCAAAAAAAATCCACTTTTATGTATGAAAGTAAATAAATGGATTTATCTAAGTTAAATAAAAAAAGTCCGCATTTAAGTTTATAAATTTATTTAATACAATAAAAATACTTTTTCTTATAATATCTATAGATAGTCAAATATCACAAGTTTATACATTTTATTTTTATTTCTTATAAATATATATTGCAGGGAAAACATTAAAATTTGTAATATAAATAATAAATTAACAAAATTTCCGGAAACATGGGTCGTCATAATGATTTATTCCATGTCAAAATGGCCGTTAACAAGTGAAAAATTATGAGTAAAACATATGCAATAAAATTCAATAAAATATATTTAATAAAAAATACTAGCCTCTGCAAGGAATGTTAGAATAAAGGCATTAGATTAATATCATTCAATATTGTCGTCCACATATTTTGTAAAAACAGGAATTATTTATTAGAACATACATGGTGATATGATTAAGACGTGGCAAGATTGGTACAGATTTTATTCTTTACAGTAATTACTACACGCTCTTATAAAAACTAACTAAATACTTTAGAGTCATATAAACTTTTGTAAATCTTTAGAAATATAAAGAAATCATGTGAAAACATGCACAAATAATTATAAGTTGATTGGCACGCCATCTCTTGTCCTTGCAATCAATTAGTAATATAAAAAGTTCAGTTACTATGATAGATGGCGCTACTTTCAATCTTATAAAATTTTGATAGTCCAGTGTTTATTTATTATACATTATATACAAACAGCTTACAACTTTGAGTTCCAAGCGGAATAATGATAATAAAATATAAATGACCGAACACATTTCATAATTTTTTTTAAGGATCAAAAGTTTATGAAATGTTTTAAGTTGTATACTTCACATAAAACAGTTTGCCACAAAGTTCCTTACACTAATTTATATAATATTTTGTATTATCGCTCTCATTCAGCGTCAACAATAATAACAATAATATAAATGGTGTTCTTCCCTTAAAATAAAAGTTTTTACAAAATTAAATACATACATGAATACAAAAATAAAAATCGACTCGTGGTCGCTTCTTTATAGGAATGTCATAATAAAAAATGTGACAAAAACGAATGTCACAATAAACTTATAACTAGGGTTGAGTTATAAGGAGGTCATTGACAGTGTTCGGTGACGTCCACGACGGTACTCTTCCTCCAGCCGAAGAAGAAGTAGCCGACCGCCAGGCCCAGCACGAGCGCGAGGCACAGCCACACGTTATAGGTCATGAAGACCAGCATCAACACGTAGGAGGCGGTCGTCTGGACGATGTGCAGCAGCGTCTGGACGAAGTGGCCGCACGACAGCATGGAGTACCTGGAACACGGGACGGGGAGAAACTTTAGAACGAGAGAGATGACGGCTCACTATTTACTGTACATAGTACATACACTATTATTAGCTTACATTGCGTCTCCGATTGCAAAGTCGTAAAATCGACTTTAGAGATGGCACAGCATAAAATAAAATATCGATAAATCAGAGATCTTATTTACGATCACTGTAACTTGTGATGCCTGAGTGGACTATCACTTGGAACTTTTTTTCGATATCCCTAACATTCCTAATTCCTCTGTGCTTAACAGTTAAGTTTGTAGATAATTTTATAAGCTAAATGACCTAATCACTATAGTGTACAAGTAATCTACTCACTTAACGACCGCTGTCCCCGCACAGTTCCCGGAGGGTCCACATTCATTCTTGGTGATGTTGACCTGCGAGTCTCCCGTGGAGGTGGTGGCTCTCGCGTGGAGCGCCTCGCGGTAGTACTTCAGACCTTCATATAACACGCCCGCCAGGAAGATGGCCACCGCTGACCCGAACAGCTCCAAGGCGGTCGTGGTCTTCCAGCCGCTGAACAGGATCTCCTGACACACCCCCGCGTGGAACTGTAATATACGAACATAGAAACGATTATAACAACAACAATATATGGTAAAAGTTTGATGTAATATAGCAAACAACGCGATCAGTATTCTGAACATGTCCACTGCAGTACAGCACGATGTAAGGAGGTAATGTAATCCGTTCCGCGAACTAAAAGGAAGGATGACGTCACAGGAAGGATGTGAGAGGAGAAGGGTGACGGAGACTGTTGTATATATTAAATAGGGAACACATTTTTAATTTGAACCGAACTTATAAAACTCCGGTACGCACCCGAAGTGACATTAAAGCGATGACATTTGTTTTGTTCACTTTTGCGCGGGAAAGGTTTTGTCGATGCGATTTAAAGTGTTTTTGTAATTATAATTTAATTTTTTGAGGAATTTTAAGACAGGTTTTGTCCAGTTAAGATTCGATTCGTTATTTAAATCTACTAGCTTTATAAGACAACTGTATTTTTTAAGGATTTTGTTAGAGTCTTAAATATTTATTAGGTTAAAAGTAAGTACACCAGCTGTAGGTAGTTACGTCGGCGTTACGTATTCAATCAAATGATAAGTTAATTGCTCTCAGACCGGTTCGTGTGGTAATCGTAATAACCTACTTTATTGATAATACAACAATATCATTGTCTCTACTGTTCAAGTTAATACATTATTTTAAACAAAAAATCATCAAATTTCTTTTCTCATTGTTTGTATCCGAACGTACAAGAGGTTTGAAAAGTTAAGAAACTATTAGTAATGTTATCGACAATCTATTTGTGATATTGATAACGAGTGACCGAGCGAGTACATTAAACGGGTCATTGCCTACATTTGATGTCAATAGTTGTAAAGCATCATAATAATATATTATGATAATAATGTTAGTTTATCATTTGTGGTCGGTGGTAGGTAGTGGTGGGAACAGTCCACTATCCTACTGTCAGTGTTCGTGGTCTGCTGATAACGATAGCTCTTATCACTTGTACTGACATAATTTCTATTTCATTAAGCAATTATATAAATAGAAACCTCAGGATAATCTGTGAGTGTCAGGTTACGTCATATTAGTAATATATAGGAAGGAAATGTCTCCGTCACTAAGAAGTATTCGAATGCTAGTTTCACTTGTTACCACCTAATAATAATATTTCATTATACGGAGAAATGACAAGGAAGTATGTGTATACTACTGACCACCATCATGTGGCTGGAGGAGCAGGAGCCGCCGTGGTCGTGGTCGTGATCATGGTCGTGATCGTGGTGGTGGGCGTCCATGATGAGGAGAGAGGAATCTGAAACAAATTAAATTGAGTTTTAATAATCTTTAGTATTTAATGAGGCCTTTAAGTTATCAGAGTAATATTACGTAAACATAATGACACAACACATTGAACTCGGCTCGATTACGTGTACATTAACAAAATCTGTTAGAAACTCCTGTACTCTAAGAGCCGATATATAATATTAATAATGAAATAATAAAGTGAACCTTATTTGATTTCAATAAGATGTAAATTGGAATATCATTAAGTCTAGTTGTGCAAAGTTAGCTTTCACTGCGGGCCCTCAGATTGCTTATCTTGCACAATATTTGTCAATAGCTCGACCAGCGGGCTCGTTGGTTGAGAATTATTATTGAATATGAAGGGAACTTTAAACATACATACAATTAGGAGTCACATTGATTCCTCTGTATAGATTACAAACTGGTTAAAACTAGCGCCGGAGATATGTTTTTACTTTGACTTGTTTGACTTTATGTGTACGTTAGGTTGGAGTATCGATAAGCGATCAAAATATTAAATTGAAGTATGTAGTCTTTTCTGATATAACGATCGTCGCGTATGTCACATGTCCCTCGTGAATTTATTGTCAATGGAAGAGTAGATATCCTGGGGCAAGCATTAGTGTTAAGGTATACCACAGTTGAATAATGATCTGCAGTTAGTTGTCATTAAAATACATATGACACTTAAAAAACCCGTCTGGTTTTCTCATAATTATCATTAAAATTCCTTGAAGTCCATGATCTTAAGGATTGAGAGATTCCAAGGAGCCGTTCACCTTGGATGGTGACAGAGTCCTGCGAGAGGACTTGTACATTGTTAGGGGAGAGTTGGTTATATCGTACTAGCATTTAAATCGTACCACCTCTTAATTTCCCATTTAATGAATATTTTTTTCTACATTGACAAAGCCAAATCGTAGCCCTGTACCATCCGTCTTCACCCACTAGTTTACATCGACGTGAGTTAACAACTGTGCACGTAATAAAAAAAAACATTTTTTGTAGGAATTAATATAAATATTGTCGTACATTCGTAAGGAGATAACTCGTAATCAAGGTAAGCTATAGTTATGCATTTTTTTTTATTATTCCACAATTGTATACTAGATTATTGGGGGTTTTTGTTGCGTGTCTAAGTTTTGAGTTTATGCCGGATATTTGCTTTTGTTTTAGAAATGCCTTAGTTGGTTTAATCGTACCACTTGCAGTTGGTTAAATTGTACTGGTACGATTTACCCGACTACCCAATGCAAGTACCTATAGTACTACCGCAAGTACGTATAGTAAGTACTACCCAAGGCCAAGAACAAAAGTTATAAGAGGAAACGATCTCATTCCATCACCAGTAGCGATGATTCAGGAGAGACGCTTGTTGTAGAACTAGATGATGATGATGACAGCGATGATTATCTTGAAAATACATATATGTCGAAAGTGCACTTGTTCTTACTACGATAAGAAGGGTCCAAAAGTTGATCCGATTCAATGCGTTCGCTGTAAACGGTGGCTACATGAGACATGTACTTCGAATCCAGACATTTGTCATGGTTGTTTCCATTAAGAAATATAGACAATAATTATATTACAAATAACATTCTTGTTAACTGTTACTTTATTATTATAGTTTACTGTTGTTTTTTTTTTGTCTCATTTTTATTAGTTATGTTGATTGATCTCATTATCATAGTATAATCATGTTATTTTACTGAGAAAGCTTATACATAGTTCCTTTATATAACGTAAGAGTTAAAATTATGTTTCTATTACCTATTAGATATAAATAATGTTGTTTTATTACTTACCTAACAGTTAAAAATAAATAATTTGATTGAGAATTTTAATGTTTTTCATTTAGTGGTACGACTTAAACACCCACGGTACGATTTAAAGACTTAGTGGTACGATTAAAACGACTAGTCGGCTAAATCGTACCGATGGCAAGCCTCTACAAAAAAGCATTTTTAACAATGTTAGAATAATCGCAAGGACTCTTCTTTTCTTCTTAGGAAGCCAAAATATGAAACTTTATTTTACATATGTATTAATTATTATAAGACGTGTTATAGTCGAAATATTGGAGTTAAAGTGAAAAATGGTACGATATATCTGACTCTCCCCTATTTTATAATACCATCCGTGTTTGTAGTTGATCGATACATAACTGTTTTTTAGTTAGATTAAAAACAAAAGTTTAAAATCTCTCATAAAAAATACAAACATCTTACAAATTATACCGCTCCAACTTCTTAAATGACTTTTTTAAAAATTTAACAAATAAGATTAGGGATCATAACTGTTTTCCCCAAAAACTAATAAAAAAAATGTTCGCAATTAATTTCTACCAAAATGTACAAAGAAACTAATTTGTTTCTAAATGATAAAATTGATTTGCCGATGTGAAGGTCAGGAGGAGGACCCGTTAGTGATAAGTAATGATGATAACAACAATTACTGTTTATATATACAGTTATACAGTTTACTTTCACTGAGCTGATATGTGAATGAGTGTTCGTCATACATCAAGAGGACATTAAATTATTAATAGTTACCATCATCAGCCTATCAGAGCCCACTGCTGAGCAAAGGCTCTCACATGGAGAGGGTTTAAGCATTGATGTCAGTGATATCTAAATACTCTGAGAAAGTCCATATGACTCGGAACAATTACATTGGCACTTGTCAGGATCGATCCCGCGCCCTTATGGCTGAGAGGCGGGCCTTTAATTATTACTAGACCACCAAACGACTCATTAATAGTACCTTTTACCTAACATTTATTTCGTTTATCTAATATGCTTTGTATTCAATGTATGTGCTCCACACTTTGTCTCTGTAAAAATTTGCGGTGTCATATTTTAATGAGCCAAGTATTTTTTATTACCTTTTATTAAGTTCCAGGACTTTCTTGATGGCCGCGTTTAAAGAATTATGATCTATGATTTAAAGAAAAACCAAATTTGAATTAAAATAGCCTTTGCTATTTTCAGAAAAAATATATCAAAGAAATAAATAGTTTCAGCTCTAAAAGAAGCTTAGGTATATAAAATATTTTCACTTTCAGGTTGATAAAAATAACTTATATAATAGTAAGTTATTATTATTATAGAATTATTGTAGGAAAAGAAATGGAATAAGTACTAAAACTTGTCTTTCAAACGAAGTGAAGAAACAAATCATGCTATTTATGTTTGATAAAATAAGAGCCTTTGATGTAAAGAGAACATGTAGTGATGTTCCACTACAAAATACTGTTATACTTCTTAAAGAGGACAAACACTTGAGACATAAAATTGACAAAGCTTTGTAAAAGATACTCCAATATTTTGCTTTGAAGGGTTTAAAAACAATTTTTCCCCATCTGTCTAATACTTGAAGAAGGTTAAAATTAAAACTATGGCCATCTACCTCGTGTTGGAAATAACGCTCGATATAATTATTACTTTTGAAGCGGTAGTTTAATATTTCGTTGGCGAAAAAATAACTGTCTTGTAGTAGAAAAGACTGCATATATTTTATTTACGAACTTTTGCCTTTGAGGGAGTTCCCGTTAAAAATCATATCTAATCAACATTGATGGCTTAACAGATAAACAACATCGTGTGTTTTTTTAGAGGACATTACCACCAGGACTTGAATGAAGACTACATAAGGTTTGTTGAATGTAAACGACGAAAACAAACTCCGAAATATAAGTTAAAGAACACATTCCCAGTTTTTTATTATCATTAAATCAAGTTTTATTGCTTTATCGTAATAATATGATAGTATATTCTAGAAGCTGTTCATCTGACATTCAGATCTGTTGTTTTTCAATGATAATAACTGCATTTACGAGAGACAATCGTTCACATCCGTCGCATTGGTAGGTGGTGGACCGTGGAGCGTGGTCGGTGGGTGCATTTGATACGACATGGTGTAATACTGACCACTCTATAACAGTAGGATATATAACATAAAGAATGATAGATCTTTTAATTGAGAAGAGTTTAAATGTATTGAAAAATAATGATTATTAAACTGAATCCGATTATAATTTAAATTCATTGATCGACTGTTATTATAACACATAACATTTTAGTTACGTTAGTCGTTACACCATGCCTATTACATTATTTATGGTCACCATCAAAACATACATTCAATATATAACAGAAATTATCCTTTGGTTTAATATTTTTTAATAAAATATTTTGTTCCGTAAGAAATTATTCTTTCAAATCACTATCTATTATATAGGTATATGATTTTTATTTGTATATGTGTTAAATAAAACACGTTATGTATGTGTGTGTGTGTCGTCTAGACAGACACAAACAACAGGTCATCACGTTATATAACGAGACGGTTATATATATGTTAGGGTCCTCCCCGTGCACTGTGAGAGAGAAAAATATATACTGTGTTAGGTTGAGGAAACGAGGAACACTACAAACAACATAGTTAGTGTATGGAGGCGGATGTGTGACGATGACACCACCTGATGTTTGAAAATAACGAGCACGTTTAGGAATATTTGGAAAACCACGGATGTTTGGTGAGAGGATCCGGCGGAGGGACCAGGGCGCGACTAGCATACACACATACACACATGACGGTTTACATTGAGACACGGTTCATTGATACGTACGACGGAGAAAAATATTATAGAGTACTTATATGTGCGTAATAAAGATTTAAAAATATGAAAAAGTCAAAAATGGAGAAGATATTAAAATGACATACCTATAACACACACACACACACAAACATAATATATTATTATAATATATATTTTTAAACGAGTGTATTTCAATACGCCGGTAGTAGGTACCCAACACCAGAAGGTGTTTAACTACTATTATCCACGGTATTCACAATTCTCCACAGACTCATGTCAAATGACTCACTTTAAAATACTTACATTAGAAAACATTCCTTTTTGTTCATACTCGTATGTATATCGTTTGAATAACATTATATATTGACAATAGGAACAAACTTTGTCTGG